CATAATTTGAAAAAAGTTCACACAGCTGAGGTGTCCGAGTGGTTAAGGAGTTGGACTTGAAATCCAATGGGTTCTACCCGCGCAGGTTCGAATCCTGTCCTCAGCGGAATTGCTTATTTCTTTTTTTTACATACACGTTATACTTCGTTCGTCAGAAAGTTTATCTCAAAGTGTAAGAATTTAATACTTGCTCGTTGCTGAATTTATTTATAGATTACACGAAACACGAAGGCGCTGCGACACCAAAATGACCTTATAAACTACGGGAAACGAATACAAAACGACATAATTAGGATTTCCCGATTACACATCGCAAGTCGTCACGATAATCTCATTTTTCGTGGATTCTTATTTCGGCCAATCTAGCTGAGGATAGAAAGATACGGGATTAGTTACACTACATTATTAACCAGTAAGCTCTATTGTAATCGGTTAAGCTTCGGTCGGCTAGTACTTCATTAATTTTCCCACTCAATTCCGTTTCCCGTACTTTAAGATTATTGTATTATAGGCTGTAGAATCTAGTCCCCATAGAGATGTAGGTCAATCTGATTTCGTTCTGCAAAGACAATCGTTACACAATGGAGGCCACCGCTTGACACAATTTGACGCGGCTCTCAAATTAACTGAACATCGAGACATTCACGGTCGCTTGTAATATGTATATCCAGGACATTGTCTGCGACGAGAGGACGACGGTGTAAGCGTTGTCTAAACGCCAATACGCACACCTCCCGGTACATATTCGAATTATAAAAAAATATAATAATTGGTCCGGAATTGCCGATCAAACTTACGATCACTTCAAAAATATATTACCTACATTTTACACATTATTTACCTACGCGAGTATTGCCTGTAGTTTACGCGAGTAGTACACATTTAAATAAAACACGTATAACGGTTTAAAACGCGACATATATTAGTTAACTTATTTTTGCGAAGTTTCGGATGCTGACAGCAGATGATCACTGACTGAAGACGGAGAGAGTACAAAAACAACAAACAGCAAAATTCAAAACTAATCTAAAAATTCACAGGGACCTTAAAACAGAATACGCCGGAGTGAATAGAAATTAATATTAGAATCAAGTACTGTTAGTGTAAGTGACCCACATTATTGATCATTACAAGGTCACGGTTCACAACGAGATCTCCACCAAGACCACTTTCACCGGTCTGAGTCCTGTTTAAGATGTGTGTTTTTATTGATAACAATGAATAATGACGCGCCTTTACAGCCGACTTATTAAGAGGATTTGCGATCATATTTTAAATTTATAAGATGGCATACAATACAGCACAGCAATGCCGTTAACAATATCGGCATCGTTCGCAATATTTGTAGGTATTGCAAATGTCTGCGTTTAGCTATGCATCTAATCACAAAATGTTTAATGACAAAACTAAATTATCACATTCTCTTCCTAATTTAATCTTTCTCTTGCTTTTCTTAAAGCAAGGAAGAATCGCTACTATACACAATATAATGCATGATAAACAGAATTATTATTGAAAAACATTTTTTTTCTCTGTTCAATCGTATCTGCATGAGTATTGTTTATTTTGTGGAACTGGCTTTTAGCGAGCGACAGGCTGTCGGGCCCTAACGGTAAGACTGATAACCGATTGTAACGGGAATGTTGTTTTATTATAATCAATACTCTCAATTGCCAATCTTGAATGGAATCACTAACATAATTACCAAATGAAGCAATCTCCTAAGAGCTACAAAAAATATTAAAAAGTAAATTTTTAACTAAAATTTGTCTTCTTACCTGTTTATTTAACTGGTTAATGGAGGCGGTCAAACATAGTGGGTATAAAATTATTTGCGATTTAATTCTATTATTTTTATAGTTATCGTACCTACCTTAAAATCCTGAAACACGAATATGAACAGCGTTCGTAAGTCATTCGACCGATTGCACTTTTATCTGGGTCACTTGATAAAGGGTTGGGTTGGGAGCACGAGCGAGAATATTCTTTACAGGAAGAGAGGCCGTGTTAAAGTCTCGAAAGTGCTGATGCTGTAAAAATGCGCGCTCATAATATGTGTATATAAGTGCAACTTGCATTTATTAAATACAATATAAGATTAGAGATATAATCGTTGCCCTCATATAGATAACGACAGCTTCGCAAAAGCACGTACGACGAAGCAGGAAGCGTAGACTATCGTTTTTATTCGATGGAGGAATCTTTTCTATAAAAATCGACGAATCGCTGTAAATTTTTTATCACGTATATATTTAAAATATTACATAAGCTAATCTTAATTCAAGTTTTGCACTAACAATAAACGATTATTCACGCGCACAATGTCGGAAAGCTGTGCAAGTTGCGCACGCGCATACCAACGCAGTCTCCGTATTCACGGCGAGTACGGCACGAAAGTGAACATTATTAATGCTAGGAGTTTCGAAAATCGTACACCATGGAATAAGGTCTGCACGGTTACCAATGCTTCTATTGTTGTCTATCCAGAGGTTGTTTTAAGCTATGATTCACCAATACAAAGACGATTTTTAAAGCTCAATAGAGGTAAAGATTATATTTTCTTGTATTCATTGATTGATTAATATAATTGATGTTTATATAAACTTTGCAGGCGTCGGCGAAACGAAATATTACACTTCGTCTTCAGACATGACCGATACCGCGCTAATGATCGTAACGTTGCGGATATTCACAACATTTGGCGATTTCTAGGTGAATCCAAACGAAGGTGAGATTAAAGTGAGGTCCGTTCAAAGCCTTATTAACAATTATTGCCGCCGCTGCTGTTGAAATTCGCCACAACTGGTTGTTAGAGGAATTGGTACAACAAAAGATTGTACTAAAACTAAAAGTGCATTGTCTTCCGAAACGATCGTTGAGGGTATCGACCTATTAAACGGTATTAATCTTTTCGATTCCGCCGGCACGTGGGCCTCGCATATTTCAACGCAGATGTTGCGCAACCCGGTGTGTTTTACACGAAACTCAGTATTCGGCGTGCGCGCAGTTCAATTACACACTTTTAATTACATAAGTGGCTTATCGAATCGCGCACACGTTGCTTTCGTCAATTCGCAAAAATCGAGTAAACCGCGTAAAACTGAGATGGACCAAATTAATGATGTCCATTCCCTTTTTCCGTTTCATTAAAATTCTCAAATCCGTGAGCCCGTGACCAAGAATGCAAAGTCGAACTCGAACTTTAGGCGCAAAAAAGCTACTTAAAACGATAATTACTATAATATTTTAATTAGATATAACTTTGTATCCTTGATCCTAATAATTCGGAGTTAACTTTAATGTAAAAAATAAGCAAATGCAACACGCACTAGTATTACATTAAGCGGTATTTAGCATACAAAGAAAATTACGCTTTGCATGATTGTATGAACCACATATTTCAACCCAGTACAGTGCTCAATATTGGCGCATATACATAATATTCTTACATTTGGGCTTCTTACTTTACTTAATATTCTCCTTCTAGTGATGTTGGATCAAAAGCGTGATGGTAATTCGTTATAACTTCAGACTTTAAGATATAATGCCATTGCTAATAGCAATAGTATTTTAAAATAAGTCACACTGAACCGAGGTTGCGTAACAAAACAATTAAAATTCGTTGAAGACAGACGCAGCCTTCAAACTAAACTCGAGATGTTCAATAAAATATTCCACCAATTTTACCTCATAGCTACTGTACCTCCAATAGGTGTTTTATTGAAAACTATACATAGACTTCATGTTAGGTGCTTTGTTATATAAAAGATATATAATCGAACGAAATTTTATTATTTATCCGTTTACTTTACGCGTTAGGATTCGCTGATATAGAAAATGTATTAAGAACCAGACAAAAACAATATTTTCCACTTCAAACATATTCTTACATATTGAATTTAATTTAGTTTGAAATCGCGAAAACCTATTTATAAATAATCTTATTACAACAATACTGTACAAAAAGTTTCAAAATGTTTTGTCAACGAATCATTTGGGCCTAGTCATTATTCAAAAACATAAATACTCCCGGTCAAATATTTTGCGTTTAGGTGTTCGCTATTGAGTCTGCAGCGACTATATGTACGTAAACATACTTATGAATGCGTTGCTATCGTAAGTATCAATTACGTTTTCCTCATGTTGCAAATGACATTGTATTTTCCTATAAGTACCATCTCAAGAACTGTATAGCATACATACCCAGTAGCTTGTAACAAATCGTACATTTGTGTATATATTTAAATAAAACACTTTAACGATTTAAACCGCGACATATTAGTTAAACTTATTTGAAAATGATTGTTACCTTCGGTCCGACGTTTCGGATGCTTTGCAGCAGCCGTGGTCACGTGGAGACGGGGAGTCTCCCCGTTCGCGTTTTAAACCGTTAAAGTGTTTTATTTAAATGTGTACTACTCGCGTAAACTATAGACAGTATTTATATATTTTAAGTTAAGCTGTAGCAAAAAAAATGACGATATCAAGAAAAACCCTATAGAAAAGCAATAGTTGATAATCCAATTGTCAAAATCAACAATACGAATATAATATCTGGACGTAGATAAGTTGCCAAATAGGAAGAAAGCTTACGGTACACCTAGACTTTTTAGAGGTCGTGACTCATAGCCATGGTCACGGGCGAAAGAGCATTTTCCGATTGATAAAACTCAACAACCTTAATAAAGTTTTGCATAATAAACAACGCAAATAACACATATCCAACGATATGAAGGTACGAGACAAAATTGCGTTCTGTGCCTTGTATATTTTAAAGCAGTTCAAATATCTACTATTAAGCTTATGTAGTAAATAAACTGATATTCTACAATTTTCATTCTAGATTTAGCCATGTTGTAGTCCTTCCGAGCAATTAAATAATGGAAGAGACAAAGAATTCGACAATAACTGAGACGTTTACGAAATAATAGTAAAAGCGAAATCGGTCTCAGTAAGCCGGCAAAGATAAGTTCTAGTCTAGATACAGGGGAAGGACTCACCGATACATGGCGTCGACGGTGAAAAGGGTTCCCTAGATTTGGGCAATGTCACAGCACTCGCGTATACAGAATGTCGTCGGTTCAGGGCGCGGTAGCCATGTCGTGCGGTCACAGCTGAGGCTCGGACGCGAGTGCGGGCGGCGGCGTCGAGGGCCACCGCGATGCGTTGCGCGGAAGCGACCTTCCGAATCTGCGACCTGCATTTGCGAACCCGACCGCGCACCGGTCGTCGACTTGTGGCGTTTTAGCTAAACTGGAACGGTCTTCTCGGGTCTGCTCTTCGCAAAGTCACGACGACGAAGACAGTAACGGTTTAGTACTGAACTTCAAACCTAATCTTTACCGACAGGCCTTGCAGAGGAATATGTTGAAAATGTTTTGTTATAATAAAAACGAATCGACAGTCAAATTCAAACGGTATAACTTAATGTGGTGTAATATTTTGAATTTAAATTGAAGCAATTTAAGATTCAAGTGGTTTTCTACTATTCTCGATCGATCCTGTAAGATTCTAACCATTGTATACCGCTCTTAGGATGTGTCCGGATATTCTCACGACTCATGAGATCGTCATCGCTACCATTCTAAGTCATGAATAAAAAGCAGCAGCATTTCTTGACGTTAAAACATATTACCACGTGTCGCCAAGAACGTGACCATCATAGTTTACTTGTTTCGTGACAAACAGACAACATGATGTTACTTTTTAAAAATAAAAAAAATCTAACTCAACAAATTATTTAGTTCTATAGTCTATAAAAATCGTTTCATATTCTAATGCTTTGAGTGTACTATAAATAAATAGTTTTTTCTATGCTAAAATTAAATTTAATAATTTCCACAATTTCGTTAATATATTTGAGTTGAGGTGTTGAGTCAGCGAGGAATCATTCTACCATTGTCCTAGTAGGTACAATTAAACATGTGTAGCAATATTATTAATATGTTTGTGCACTATTTGTATAACACTGTGCCTCATAGCTGGGTTCGCATTCTATACAACAGTCAAATGACAAACATACGTCACTAACGAACATGAAATTACCTATGTATATAAGAAAAAAAATCTAGTTTGCAGATCTACAATTTCAATAAGAAACGAGTAATTAGGTTTTATTTCTTCAGCGATATGTCATCTTCAGTATTGCGTAATTTATAATGCTTAACTTGTTTTCTAAATGGGCGGAATTTTTGCGTATCATCAAGATATCTAGTTGCAATATCAACTTCGACGTCTTTAGTTACTCAGCAAATGTACAAAGTACTGTCGGGGAATAAAGTGATTCCTTTAAAATTTATATTATATTATTTTTTTTATGTTTTAGGCTAGAATTCCAGTTTCTTTTTATAATTTATGTTATAGTACCTGCTAAAGATAATTGTTAGAATCGGATAGATACGTGTAATTTATGCTAATTTATTTTGTAGTTTTGTGTTAATTAACTGAAGATGGCAAAATCAATATCTGTATTAAAAAGATAAAGCAGTTTTTAAAATGAATTTACCTACATTTGAGTTGTTGAATAATATAATATTTGTATGAAAGTACTACATACAATATATCACACCTTTAACAAGCACTCGGATTATGAAAACGATTATAGGACCTCAATAATATGCCTGACTCAGTATTATACTTACATAGTCGATTTTCTATTGTGTAATACAACAACCAACAAGTGGTTTTTATAAAATAGTAGAGTAATGAATACTCAAAATGATTTTGTTAATTTTGCATTCGTCTATAGTTTACGCGAGTAGATTTTGACATTTACATAAAAAAAATACGGGTTCAAACGCGAAATGTAACTTCCTTACGATTAAAACATTATAGCAAAGCATCCGAAATTCCGAGCCGTTATTAAAAATAAATTGTAAATATGTCTCTATCTTAAATGTAACTCTTCTGTGAAACAGTTACGATTCTAGTTACAGTGAAAAGATACGAGTGCGATGAAGCCACCGCAACAGAGACTGTAGCAATTTCGAATCCCGGTAATTTACAAGCAAATCTTCTATCCCCTACATTGCGCAATTGATACACAATGTGTTTCAAAGAAGACGAAAGTGACACAAGGTAAAGCGATGTTGTAAAGAAACCCCCTTTTTTCATGTAAAATGATTTTATATTTACTAATTGCTTATTTAAAAACTGCTATCTGGTGATAGCAGTTTTTAAATAAGCAATTAGTAAATGCTATCTGGTGATAGGTCAGGCGCATGTTACGAAAAAATCGACTCAATATTTCTCTCACTGCTTCCACTCTTACATGCATTCTGTGGACTCTTATAAAAATGACTAATATTCTCAGAAAGTAAGACTGGTAACGCCGTTAAATAATCAATGATTTTCCTCATCTCAATTCTTTGAAAATAACAGTAACTCTATAAGCATACAAACTGCTTCAATGCAAACGTTTCTACAGATTTTAGCAAAATATAAAAGAAAGTCAATAAGTTTCGCAGTAATATCCTTACTATAGGTCTTTACTAACTAACTTTCACCTTAAAAGGTTTTTCGTTTCATTTATATTCCGCTCCACATTAATTTGTAGTAAAGGTAAACGAACAGGGTCATGTACACTTTTTTCTTATGGTGATGGTTAACGACGAATATTGCTTAGGTACCCATTTATTATGACATTTTACAAAGGCTTATCTAAAGTTTTCTCATTAAACAGGGATCGTAATGCCCCGTTGTTTTGTCAAGGTATTTCAATCATTTTTTAGTTAGCTGAGGGCTTGCTATGTTTAGGCCGTTTTTTCATTGAGCAAGGTAATGATATGGTGGATGGGCCAGAATAAACTATTACAAACGGCGTTTTAGTTATCCAGATAGTTTTATTCAAATGTAAAGCTAATGTAGAGAAGTAAAGCTGTAGTCAAAATGAAAACTGGGTGTTTTGTTTTGGTTTTTCAATTCTTTGTGAATATAATGTATATTAGTTTTCATACAATTTTCACAATAAATATAAATCGATTATATAATCGATATAACATATACTACAACACTGTCTTTCTAGTTTCCACAGATAATGTTCATGGAAATTAAAGTAAAGGTATACATAAGTTTTGGGACCCCAAAATACAATGACATTGACAAATGATAAATGACCAGAATTACCTAATGTCTTTAATTTGACACTGGCAAATAGTTGATTCTTCTTCCCACAAACGAAAAAAAAATACTGAATGTCAAAATAAGTGACAGTTGACCAAAAGCGTGATGGATTACATTATAGTTATAATGTCAATTATAATTTATAAACTGTTCAGTGGCGTATTTGCCTTCTGTAAATAATAATACTAATTATTCAATAATCACTATTTTTAAATACTGAGTATGTGATTCATTTTTAGTCTTGTAATTCTATTCTATTATTAAAAGAGCATAAACATGTATCATCTCTTAGGATCTAAAAAAAATCAGATTTTAGCTTCTAATTCTACTTTTGTCGTCACATCTAAATTGTAGTCCGGATGAAGGTTTCCTAAGCTGCAGATAACCGAAATTTGGTATCGTGGTTCGATTAAGAACGCTGACGGAAAATGCCTTGTGAGAGTTGTGCAGTACAGTTTAGTGTATTTAAGAGAAAACGGCTCTGCTCAGAATGCGAGCGGTACTACTGCAGTGGATGTCTGCGACGCGGAGGCGGCACTATGTGTGCGCCGTGCCGTGTCCTTTCTACCAGACCACTCTTCAGACAAACCATAGCCCACCTCAAAGTTCGTGATCTCCAGTGCTTTCTAAAGCATCAAAATGTTTCAACTCGAGGTTGTGTTGGTAAGTTGCCATCCACTGATATTCAGATACCACACATACCACTGAATTTTCTAGATTATTCTTTTCAGGTACATAATACAATAAAACTATAACTTTTCATTTAGCTTACTTACCGAAAACAAAATGAGTTGTTATATTTAAAGATATTATTAATAGTATCAAAAGTTTAATGTTATTAAAGAAATGTAATGAGGTGATATTTAAAACAGTTATTACATTAGTTATCAAGTAATTTTGTCATCTTTGTAAATAATAGAAACTAAGCAGTTTTGTATAATTAAGCGGAAGTATTATAAGAAACTTTTTTTAACTTATCTGTGCATGTTTTTTGTCATCAATGGAGAATAAATAGCAGACGCTGAAGTAATAGAAAAACAAAAAAAAATATTGTTTATAGTAACTTCAAGCTAACATAGAGTTGGGACATTTAACCCTACGTAGCTGAGTGGTCCCATTTCATAGTGTCTGTAGCAGTTGCAAGTGCAATTAAGTGTCCAAATCCAAAAACTATTTACTTTATTTAATCAAACCATCATTTTTTATTATACAGTAAACCGGGATGAATTAGTAACCTCTATCGCGGTCCCGGTTCTTTCTCATTAAATTACCTTTGTTAATGGAACTTTTTGAACCTGGTCAAATGAGATTTGGATTTTAAGACTTTTTCTACATTTAGCACAAATACCTGTAAGACAAATTAGTCAGGTTTCAACATGTTACAAACGCAGTCTTTGAAAATGAGACAACTATAATTTTAAACCTGCTTAATTGGAAAACTGGATTATTGAAAACCCTTAATAATTGTTACATATGTCTTGGTCCCTTGAGATCCCAATTGACCTGGTTATACTGTACAATATTGGGTGAAATGGTCAGCAGATAATGTGAACTTTCATCCTGCCTTCTTTTGGTGTAGCCAATAAAAAAGAATGATACAATATATTGTACTACTAATAGTATTTTCTACACCTATAGCAATATTTTAAATTTCAGAAAAGGAAGAGCTTTTAACTCTGTGCATATCTCATGTCAACAGTGCGGCATATAAAAAACATGGACCTCGTAGTGGCCCCAGTCCCCTGACATCTACACTGAAAGGAATAACCAATAATTTCAATGAGTTCATCACTTCAACATTTGATTTACGGACGGGACAACCAGCACCCCAACCCAATAGAAGTTAGCTTTTCGTAATTTACATTTATACTTTATTGCACGTTGTAAATATATACTTAAGTCGAATAATTGTATTTCAGGTAGTTGTTTTAATGCAGCCCATGCGCATTCGCCCACGAGTGGGTCCGATGTCGGTGACTCAAATGGAATAATTGGTGACAGATTATTTAACCTCACACCTGGTAACTACATCATATATTTCTACTATCATACTCAAATTAGATTAATTGTGCTAGAATAGTTAAAGCCATTTGCTTTGTTCTTTTATTGGGCATAGGAGTATGATTTTAATAGCATTCATTAACAATGGAAATATATAAATTTGTTATCCGACTTTGAGAAGGTAAATACAATGAGATGGTATGAAGCAGACTGATATGATATTATGTATGTTTAAAATGTCCTGTTAAATAATCATTTAAAATAAAGTAATAGCATAAACAACAATAAAATATGCTGTGCCTTATAATAATAATAATTTATTTGTCAGACCATAAATCCATACATTAATTTAAAATAATTAATAAATCTAATTTGTGTTAGTTGGGTTAGTAACAATTTTTAACTTAAAACGTATATTAGAATATGTGACATATTAGACTGTGTACAAAATGAAATATCCACAGTAGATGCTAGGCGCTAAGGGGGAGCATGTACGTCACTCCATCGTTTTAGCAGCATACTTTTCACACAATGCCCCAGAATGCCATTGGTGTTTGTCGAACTCGATACATGAGGGAAGCTCGGATGATGGCTTGGAAACCATCCGTGCGTACTTCCGCAAACATGCCCGACGCATTACAGTATCTTGGCAAGCCCAATAACAACCTGAAAACATTGTTGTATTGCACACGAATAGCATTCAATGCTCTCTGAGTAAAGGAGGCCCATAAGCTGCACGAGTAGAATGATTGGCAATAAGCCTAAAATAAGACGATTTTGACATCGTTTGAGCTTCGTGCAAACCTCCGGGCCATCATGTTACCCCTCACCGCCATTGCCCTCCTTTCTCTCTCCAGGTCAGCTCCATCCGAAAGGTCCTCCGTGACACAATGACCTAAGTACTTATACTCAGTTACTCGTTGTAGTGGTACACCGTTGAGCATTGTTACAGGAACTACACCTATCTTATCACCGCGCGATTGAAAAACGAATAACTTACTTTTGGCTGTATTGTAGCTGAGGCCATGAGAATCAGCAAAACCTTATGTTATGGGTGTTATTTCTAACTACTAAAACAAAATAAGTTGTGCGTTTGATCAGGTGGCGAGAGTGACGTTCGCGTCCACGTGCCTGATCCTGGCCCCATTTCACCCGAGCCCCGCAGCGAGTCCTTAGAGAGTACACGGGTTGACACTATGGACTGCTTTGAGATCGAAGACCTTGACGACACAGGCTGGGAGTTCGTTAATCGGCCGGCTGCCCCACTGCCAAATGGTTAGTTATTTCTTAAAATTAATATAGAATATATTAATATATTAAGCCAACAATCTCTTCAGCTTCATAGCTGAAGAGATTGTTGGCTTGAACAATCTCTTCAGCTTCTGGAATTATTGGTTCGAATTTAATAATTCTTTTGTTGGTTTGACCAATTTTTGAGATGGGCTTTAGGCTATAAAACACCAAGCTGCAACCAATAGGAGCGAAACAGAGGTAAATGTGATAAAACGGGGAAAATTATTCTTTAAAGGCCTTTGGTTGCGTGCTCTGCGAAAACGTTTCAAGATTACTAAAAAATATGTGTGAAAGAAAGAATGATTCCTCTTTACATGATCTAAAGAAATGACCGTCATATTATATGTCTATTTAAGATTAACTCCAAACCACGACGTGACGAGATGCGGAGGACGTCGTGGGTAACGCCTATATTAGTTTTAACCTTAACTATACATCTGTTTTAATAAGAACCTTTTATTTTAACGTAGAGGTCAGGTTTTATGGATTGTGTATTACACTTCTACACATTTCATTACAGATTCGGAGTACCTAATAACGAATGAAGAAGTAGACAATAACATCTTAGCGGCGGGGCGCTCGGCTTCAGAACTGGACCTGTCCCGGCCGGGGTCAGACTCACATCTAGACACAGTTAGCTTACAAGACGAGCCCGTCCATTCCCAAACTGTTGAACAGGGTTAGTTCATTTTAGTTAGTGGGAAATAACGTTAAATCCACGCTCGTGGGTTGATTTTATTTAGTTGATCAGATTTTGTGGACCGATCGACTGACATGTTTATCTACCAAAATTCGCAACGCATAGGTGCATAAAGCTGTACTAGGCCATTTAAGATATGAGGCTGCTGTGCCTCTAGGTGGCCCAATAAAAAACATGATTTTCAATAAGGAAAATAAAAATGCGCAATTAATTCAGGCGAAAATTAATTTGTCCTATGATTTGTGTAAGAATTACGTCAACAATTTCATTGTGCTCTTGTAAAACATTTTGAGACTAAAAATATAAATGAGTCAAGTAATAAAATTGCAGGTAATCTACTCTGTCTCTAGCGGCCTCATGTTACATATACATGCAATGCATGAGTAATGTTTAAGCTTTACTTTTTGCAATGTCCAAAATAGCTTTATTCTTGATAAAACAAAACTTGTTTTCTTCAGAAGCTACACCTGACTTGCCGCAACACATAGATTTGGAACACATTAAGCGAGCATCGGACCTCAATGCGCTGAACGTGAAACAGTTGAAGGAATTGCTGGCGCGGAACCGGGTCGAATATCGGGGCTGTCTCGAACGAGCCGACCTCCTTCAGCGAGCGAAAATGCTTTGGACCGACCACGAAAAGTCGAAACAAGGCGAGTTGTGTTTTATAGCAATAATAAGCATTGTACCACTATCATCAGAAATTCCAAGGTCCCGGTCCAAGATTTTTCTAAAACATCTTGGACTTCTTCTGAAAATCTATATATTAAATGGCCGGTAGGAATATTGACATTCCATCCGGGTCAATTGCGTTTAGTGTCCATTTCCGAATATCTAAAGCCAGAATTGTCTGTCCTCCCAATTATAAAAAAAAGGAATTATTCATCGCTCAAGGTGACTATTGCATTTTTATATCAGCCTAATGGTAATATGTAAAAAAGAAAGACTTTTTCTGACAAGCTTTGATTTTACTCAAGTTCATATTATGTTTCTAGAGATCTTTTGACAGTTGACGGTGACAGCGACGTGTTACAGATATTGACAAGCTGCCGCTGGAAGACTGTTGCAAGATCTGTTTCGCGGCGCCACTTGAATGCGTGCTCCTGGAGTGCGGCCACATCGCGGCCTGCACCGCCTGTGCTAAGCAGTTGCCAGAGTGCCCGATCTGCCGGCAGTACGTCGTGCGCGCCGTGCGGTTCTTCCGCTCGTGAACTACCCTCGTCCCGCATCTTCGTATATTCCATTCTACATGAGCCAAATTAACAAATCTAAAATGATTCTTCAAATGATATTGTCACTTTATTTTTTTACAAAAATACATTTTGGAAACTAGGTTTAGTTAAGACTCATTCAGGCTGTGCTCTGCGGACTCGTTATTCAGTTTAGGTTAGGTATACCACTCGTATACATAAATCTAGTCTAATTAATGTACTGAGTTTTTTTGGAAATTTTATTTTAAAGTTACGAAATAAAGATTCTTGCTAGGTTTGTAATCTTCTGCTGGAGATTTTTTATGGTACATGAATTTATTTCTCCAAAATTCATTAATATCGATGTATTCAGTAGTTAAATGTTAGTTGCACTTAGTTGATATGATTTTTAAAAACAAATCGGTTTTGACATGCTTTGCCGTGAAATAAGAACTTTATTTTTTATATAAGCTAAATCGGGCATCTTTAGTTAATTTGTTAAATTAGCACGTATTCCCATTAGAAATAATGTAAATAGGTATAGTTACGCTATTTTTGTATTCATTAAATCTTGTGAGCATTTCCATAAGAAAGTAATCTAAATTATGTCCATGTATTTAACTTTTTTAAGCCAGATCATTTACTTTTAAAATATATAATGTCCTCAACGACACATTCTCATATGTTAATCTAATTTTGTATCAGCTCCTATTTATTTATAATTCAACTGTGATGTAATTTAGCTCTGGATCGGAATTTGCAGGAAACCATAGAGAACGAGACCTTTCCGTGTCTTTTGATTATGATGAATCGTCAAATCCATAGACAATACTGACACATAAACAGCCGCGATAGCTCTTTACTGTTGTTAGCTTTACATAGGTTTCTAGTTTTGTACAATCCCACGTTATGTCAAATAATATATAATTATAGAATCACCAAGTTAGCCCTTTTACTCAAAACGTTGCTATCACATTATTAAAAAAGATCTTAAGAGGAAGATATTTATAATTTATTTTTTCTTACTTGGCATTATTGGTAAACAAACAATTTATGTACATTTAATTTACGCTGAAAACACTAAGACACTGTATTATTTATTTAACTAATGAATTACTTTAAATTTACTTGATAAAACTATAACTTCATTCGAGTAATAAGAGTCCTAAAAAGTAATTTACGTAAATGCACAGACTAAGATTAATGGGTATGCAAGCAAAGTCAACGTCCAAAAAGGTAAGTCCCACTCCTGCACGATCGCTGAAAAGCGTTAAATTAAACAATAAAAAAATTCAAAAATAAGTAGTCATTAAAATATTGTGGTCGTTTGGTCCTCTATGGCAATCACTACATTCGATAAAAGGTTTGAAGTCGGCCTATTATTGTTGTTATCTTTTGCAAATTCGATGCTTTAATGCGAGGAATCTGGGATTAGAATTCAAATTATTATTTAGGGATTAAGGGTCTCAGCACACATATGGGATCGTAACCGTAACGCCTTTCGCCTTGCTGTCAACCTACCGTACGCACGTAACGAAAGCGTATCAGCAGCGCCTGTACGTCAACTCGGCTACGGCTAGGCGACACCGCGCTTACGCCTCGTCGCCCGAAAGATATTGGGTACGCAATATGAATAAAGCAAGGAGGACGCAAGCGCGGGGACGGAGAGACGTAAGCGCGGGGACGATGAACCGTAAGCGCGGGAATTGCAAGTTCGGAGCCTGTTCCGAGGCGAGGCGATTACGTTATGATTCCGATTAGTGTGCGTTGCAGTATGGAGTTTAATACAAACCATTCTGAACGGCTCGAGGCGTTACGGTTACGATCCCTTTCCGATCCCATATGTGTGCTGAGACCTTAATGAAGAATAAATTCGGGATTAGGAAATAATGAATTTGGGAGAATTATTTATTTGTTTTTTTCTTAATTATTTTTTTCCGCAGTAGAGGAAGTGGTAATGGACTAGTAGAGGTCACTATATTTTTTTTCTACAGTTTCGGCATCACATTTCGTAAGGCTTTATTTTGTTTTCTTAAGTAAGTCTATTGTTCGATAATTTATTAAAGATCTTGAAGACTAATCCCGTCCGATGGCGTGCGTCTCGGAAGGAGGGTCGACTCGCACTACGGAGGACGCGATCGCAAAGTATCCTTCGTACTCGACTTCTTCGGGCGTCGTGTCGTAGTGGTAATGGCCTCCGTCTCCATGGGAGCTGTAGCCGTGGAAATGCTGCACCCGCAGATCCAAACCCTGTTTACATTTGAATAGGAAATAATATTTTTTTGCCACCGGTTCTGTTGCTAACAGCTTTCAGGGACTAAATAATTTTATTTACACACTTGTCGCATACTGAATAAAGACAAGAAACAAACAACATTTATATCCACATATAAAAGGCCTAACACTTATCAGAAAAAAATATAAAGGATCCTTCCTACGGACCAAGAATCAGATCGCGCCCACTTCCGCGTTTGTATTTTGTGGAAGCCGGGTAATGCTGGAATCTAAAACCAGGTTCTTCCAAAGCAACACACCGCCTTTTAGATAGTCGTGGTCGTTATCAAAGTTCGAAGTCGACATCTTTAAAAAGCCCGCGGCAGCCTTACCAGATCTCCGGTGACGAGAGTGCCTAGGTGCATAATTGGAGCACTCATCTCGAAATAATGCAGCCAAGCGTCCACGTCTGCGTCTGTGCACAGCGGAGATGAGCTGAAGTCCGGCATCACGTGGTGTTTCACTTTACCAGCTCGCAGTAGGAACGCACCGCCTAGACCTGAGACGGAACGATATGTACAGTCTACTTGTTCTTTTGCCTTTTGGTATACGATCCCAACTTGAACGACTACCTACCGACTGCTTTTTCGCCATAGTGTTCCTTCAACGTTTCCCTTATTGCCGTAATGAAATTGGATGGACCTACACGTTTTTTCGCTATCACCTTTATGACCTAAAACAAGAATGTTTTCACTAATTTGTGACGATAATATTGCTCTTTCTTACGTATTTAAACGGCTCGACAGATTGTGACGATTCTTATTTCCACGCTATTACTGGTATTATTATTAGCAATTTTTATCAAGGAAAGTAACATTCCACCCATTGTGTGTCATTTTCTACCTTGCCCGGTTGCCCGTCTGATAATAAATAATTGCCAAGCAGTGCAGTCCGCGTTTCGTTGTTAGGAAGCTTCTGCTGTAGATAACTGCTGCTGCCCTTAGCTGCGCCAACCGGTGACACAGACACTATTCGGGTACCTTGATGCGCCTCGCCGTCGCGGATGTGCAAATTTATTATACCCTGGAATAATTAATACTTTTAATTATTGCATTTGTCCCTGATAATTATTAATCTATCAAGTAACACGTCTAATGCCTGTTCAACGGTTTGAACAGGCATTAGACGTGTTAGCTTATATGCAGGTATACACGCGCCGTCAGCCCAAATGTGAAAGCGAGCTAGCCTGTCTTCCTTGACCTAAATGTTTCGCTAATACACCCCGGTGGACACGAAACAGTCCGTGCCACCCTAAAGGGGAGGGGTGCCGCGAAACTATGCCACCACACTTCGTGTGCAGACAAGCAGCCGAATGTGGGCAGTGCACTCCCGGAGTTCGTTAAGTATACCTCTTTCAGCGCAAGAAAGCTCTTTGAAGAAGATGGGCGCAGCACTGATCCGTACCGAGCAACTGAACGCAGGTTTACCTCACAGTTAACGCCTATGTATGGCCACGGACCTGCTCCAGCGCCTGCGAGTAGAGCTGGATCCCTCGCAAGGTGACGCAGGAGAGCAGCGAGATCGTATACCTTATCGCGTTGTACGGTGGGTGTTAGGTACGGGGGACCACCTAATTCTACCAATTTCACATTGCCCGTTAGACCTGCAAAGTTAAAGATATGTTTAAATTTAAATTTTGGATTTTATTAAATAAAAATAATAGAAACGCCTTACCCAAAATACATACAACCAATTTATTAATAAAATGTTGACAGAAGAATCATATCTGTCAACATTTTAATTGTGCAAACAATGTGCGATAACGGTACGACGTTATCTCAAACTAAACATCTCAAGTGCTACTGTTGAACAATATGTTTATTTAACTCACAAGTTATCATTAATGATTGTTCTTTCCTATGAAGATTGAAAGTATAATTTTTTGTAGTTTAAAGTACACACCTACCTGGAGTTGTGAGGTCGAAAGGCGCCTTAGTAAGATCGGGGCTGTCTTCAGCGGTCACATTTACCGTTTCAAACGTTTTCCGAAGACCTCGAGAGAGTACTGAAAGTTGCGAGCTCATTTTGACTACATCCTTTACCCACTTTAACAAATGTATATTAGGTTTTATTAATAAACAAATTTGACACCTTTCGCTACTTCCTCCAAAGACGGTGTATGCAAGGGTTTCTCCTTAATCGGCACTTTGGCGTAGTCAACCGAAGACGCCATGCTGCAAATGCAAAGTTAATTATTGCAATAAAATCGTTGCAATAAAATAAACAAAGTTAATTTTACTTACTTTGAGTTGCGCACTGAAGGCGCACCGTTTACGCTAACGAGGATAAAAAAATTGAATAATGTCCACGCGATCATCTTTTTATTGAGAATATTATAATAAACCAATCATATATGGTATATATACATCGCGTAAAGATTGATATCGCTGACCTTACGAGTAGTGGGTATAAAAAGTAATACATACATTGGTGTTGTCAGATTTTAAGGTCACAGTCCAGTAGAACGCGTTCCGCGAGCCGAGTTGCGACAATGAACGCCGGCCAATGACTGAATGTTAGCCGTTGAGGCCTGTCAAACTTAATCGTTCGACCTGATAGTTTTAACGAAAAATATATATATTTTTAATACATAATAAATATAAATGTATATAAGTAAGCATATTACAATATTGTTACCATTTGTAACATTTTTCTCAATAACCCACAAATTCCATATTTTTTTACTAAAAGTAACTATCACTAACCATAACCGCTATGTATAATTTGTCACAGAACATTTCATGCATAATTATCACGGCTTTATCGGTTTAATGTCTATACTAACGTGCACAAAAATGAAACAGACAAATGTAAACAGTATTTTATTATCACGTAACCATTAAGTTATTGCTTTATTCTCGTAAAATATAAATAATATGTAATAATGATTCATTCTCATGTCTTTGGCAGCGTTTCTTCGCAGAAAACTCTCACTTACCTACCCACGATAAATCTACCGAAACCTCTAGGCACGATAGTCTCTAATTTAAACATCGAACTTTGCTATTATACCTTATTTATTTAATTCCACGAATAAAAATTTTATAGGTCCAAGCTTTTACTTGTAGTACTGTAGTGTTTAATGAAATAAGAATAAAAACGTACTCATGCTGTATATGTGGATTATTCGTTTAATTTATATGTAGGTATACACGTGTGCCCAAGTGTATAAATATATCATACATTAATACACTTGTATGGGAAAATTATTATTAGTCTATTTATATATGTTAATTGTCTCAGATATACTAGAGTAAGTACGTAGTAGGTAAATAATGCCCATTTTAATAAAAAAAAATATTTCACATTAGATTAATAAATATTGAATATATTTTTTAATTACGTCATTATTTTATTTGGTTGTCTCGAAGTGTTACTTATAGTACATAGTAATACATTAGGTATAATTGGAATAACGATTCCACGTACATTTTTGGTAAACCTTAATGTCATGAGCTATACAGATTCTGGAAGAAAGAATATAAAACCATAAATAAATTAACCTTTCAAGTTAATGTAACTCACCTATATTATACCATTTTTCCATATGTCTTTTGAACGCAAGCACAGCCCTTTCAGTTTAAATACGAGTAAGTACTTATAGGACGGTGTCTCAAACTCACACCTACGAGATAAATAATATAATAATATGGGGAAATGTCTTTGACTGGACCGTTAACCAACATTTAAACTACGTATGACAATGTCGCCCGGCGTTGCATTTTCTATCCTTCAGTCTTATCAAGCCTATCTATAAATCAGAAATTAACATGGACATACATTTTATAGACTTAAATGAAGTTGTAACAAACATCATTATATTAAATACGCACATCAACGTCTCACCTTATTCCTGCCCACGACTTCTTGTACCACGATACGAGAGTACATAACATTGTCGCGTGGGCGTTTCAAAAGTGGCAAGCGCTCATTTACATTTCTTTGGTCATAACTTAGTCCTAACAAATTAAAGACACTCAGATTCGCACCATAACTTGCAATCGTATCGCGAAGAATATTTACACGACTCGTTCGCTGTTACACTCACACTTAAAAGGCAGCATTATTCAATAAGGTACAAAGGAATGAAGAAGTTAACGTAAGCAAACTAATTTTCAAACGTCTTCGATAACAGGTACGCTTCCAGTTATGATTTTGAACTACTTACATTAATGCACTGTAGCTTCTTGTTAAAATTGGTACGAATGATTCGTTTAAAGATGGGGGTCCGTATGGTTGTGAGATTTAAAGGGTTCAGACGTCCGTGTAAGGTGTAAGTGTGTGCGTGCGGTCGTGATGAAGCTGGCGCGCGTGCGCAGCGTGTCGAGCGAGCCAACGCGCCAGATCACGAGAGTCGCATTGGACGCGTGGCCTGCGCAGCCCCTCTCCAGCACTACCGCTTACCCCTCCGGCCCCACCGCGAACTCCCAACTCAACGAAATGAGCACCATCCACTGTGACCGCTGTACACGATACGAGATTGCTGGGAACAAGTAAACAGCTATAATGTTTGAAAATACCAACACCCGAAGTGATATAATTTTTTTCCACATTTTACATTTATCGTCGGCGTGTTATGCCTCAAATAATTGACGGTGTGCTGGTTGGCAATAAAATGTCTAGATTCTAAAATCGTGCCTGTTATCTTTTGATAGTTAGAAATTTCACACAGTCAAACTTCAATTACCTCAAGTGCGTCTCCATGACGACTTGCGGAGTAGACGCTTTACAGGTGAATATCCTTAGATACGAGTCTGAGAGAAGGGCGCGGATATCGTGAGGGGTGTCGCGAACTATTCTGTGAGCGAGAAACCGCTCTGTATAGTCGCAGCCGTTTAGAGCGTACAGCGTGGCCGCTGCGCGTGCCTCTTCAGCATTATATCTCGGGAGCAATGCGGCAGGCGGGGCACGAGGCGGGCGGACACGTTCATCGCCGGCACCACGCCCTCCCCGAAGGCCCCGCCTACTCGAGTCTCGTACGGCGGCGGCGGTTTCAGCGGCCAGGTCGAGCACGCCGATCACCGGTTTAGTCACCGTTCCCACGATCCCTTTCCCCACGCCGGCGATGAATCCGGGCAGCCCCTCCGACGTCGCACCCTCATAGCTGTGTTTCACTAGCGAAGTCATTCCTCCTATAAACATATTCTATTGTAGTTTAAAATTAGCTAGTAGAACACGATTTTTCTTTTTCGTTTTAAAAAAGGTTTGCTCGTATTGTAGCCGCGTAGCCCGATAAGCTTATATTTACAATTAAATAAATATTTATTTTTAGACTGGCTACTAACGTATAATATTAGTATAGAATGAATAGACGTTTCTGTAATGTACCGAGTATGCCAAGACCGAGTCCACGCAGACCAGCTGCTATTCTTGCACCGGCTGCCGCCGATCGGATCCTGCGTCTCGTCTCTTCGTGAGCCTCATCACACACCACACGCTCCAATCCATCGCCCAATGTCTCTGTCAAACATTTTCATTTTATGCATCACGTTCTCTTTTTTGTTAACATAACTTGACGGTTTTACAAGAATATAACCGCTGTGTTACCTGTTACTTTAGCAGCAGAATTGGAAATGCCATGAGTAAGGTTTTGTAACAACGCTGCCACGTTGCCTTCGAGCAGCAACCCCGACACGCCCTCCGAAACATCTGCGACGAACCCCAGCGGGTTACCCAAAAAGTCTACAGATCCTAAGATCTTGGCGGCTTGCCACTTTAGCTCCTAGGAGAAAAAGTACAATCAATTTTAGTACATTTCGAGAAGGCAGTAAAGAATGAAATAGACCGACGATAGGCATACATCTTTGAAGTGTTGCAGCATTTGGTTGGCAAGCGCAGGCGAAGTGTCGAAGGCGTGCGCGCGCACGAAGGGTTCCAACTCTACCGCGGCGTCTTCGAAGCGGATCAAGGTAAGGCCTAAACGGCGTTTCACTGCTGCCGCAGACCCCTCCAACTTATTAGCCGTGAACATTGATAGACGTATCTGCGCGCAAAACCATATTTTTCGCAATTTAACAATTCAGGAAAGGTGATAGTGACAGTAAAAACAAATGAACAATCGATTCATCAATATTATTATAGTCGCTAGATACCTGACTGGGCAGTAGTTTGATTAGTGCAAAGTAGTAGCGTCGCGCATGCAACGCAGTCAACTCTGGCACCACCCACTCCGCTTCATCCGACGCCTCTTCATCTGAGCCTTCAGACACCTGCAGCCACTCCCAGAGCAAGAGGATCAATCTACTCGCAAATAGAGGCACGTTAAGCACAATTGTAAGGTTAAGGTTTTTTAAAGAATAAGGAAGAAACTGAAGCCCAGTAACAAAATAACATATCCATCTGTGAATGGTCTTGGCGTAGTGATGGGGTAAGTTATTTTTTTAACTATCCCACACTACCCATTCAAATTAATATAGACTAGTAATGTCCTGCAAAAAACAAAGCAAATCTTCATTACACCGTACGAAATAAACCCGTCACCTTTCTTCCAATCGAACAGCAATGGGCCTCAAAGCGACGAGCAGGTGCGTAAAGTAAAGGGCATTGTATCTATGGGGGGGCGCCCGCTGCATCTCCACGGCAGCGTGCAAGGCGGGCAGCGACACCGCACTCTCGCCTCGCTCTGGCAAGCAGTAGACGAGCACGGGACTGGGCGTTCCGAGTAACTGTAACCGTTGAACAAATTATTGATTATTTTAATAAATATGAATTACGTTGAAACTATTTATTTATAAACAAAAAGAATGTTTAACCTGGTTGTCCCATTGCATGTCGTGCACGGAGAGAGCGATGCGCGATGCGATGCGGTCGCGGGCAACTTCCAAACGCACAGACGTGCAAAGCGCATACACTAGCTCGGCACCTGTACGCGAAACTACCGACACGCCCACGCCCTCGAACCGCAAGCACATACCCCACTCCCACGCACTCTCTTCGACCTGCTCATCCTCTTTCTCTTCAGAGGAAGTACTTTCCATTTTATTGGATTCCTATTTATATATATATATTTTTATTATTACATTGTATTATATCGAACTATGTATACTAATATATAAAGCTGAAGAGTTAGTTTGTCTGATCTAGCTAATCTCTGGAACTCCATGTTCGAATTGAAACATTATTTTTAAGTTGGTTAGAGAATTTATCGAGGAAGGCTTTAGCCTATAAAACGTTGCTCTGTGACTAATACAACCGAAGATACAGCGAGAAATATGAAAAAAAAAATGGGTATATTAGTGAAAATTATGGTTTTCCGAGGCGTGCGCTGCAAAAACGGTCCAAAATACTCAAAACATATGTTTGAAAGAATGATTTCTCTTTATATGACCATCTTTTAAGATTAACTTGCAAGAATGAAGGGCAGGGTCGCGACCGACGTCGTGGGTAACATCTTAAGTTTATAAAGATGAGGTTTGCAAAAACGGATTTGATTGTCCAAAATCGATTCTCGCGGACAAATTCGCTGGCACAGCTAGTTTTTAAATAAATGTGATCCCATCGAACCGAAAAATAAAATCTGAGGTGTCTAGACTACATCGTAATTGACGAAAATCGATTTCAAATCAATCTGTAATAGGACACGAATGTTCCCCAATAAATAGTTAAATAAATACATTTCCAAATATAGTGGTATTCAATCTTTAAGTGACGTCTCACCTGTGCTACAGTATCAGCAATTCGTATGAGCCTCGTAGGTCCATCAGCAGCGAGGGTCACGCTCAGGCGACCGGAACCGGGTCGAAGAGTTCGCCATCGCACTCGTTGCTCTCCAGAGACTACGCCCCCCTCACGCCCCCCGCCCGACAGACCCAACACCACTCTGTTACCTTCCAATCACACCATATTAGTAAAAACCTTTACTTCATATTGCATGCTAATTAAAAGATAAAGCTAACGAATAATAATATAAATATCTTACGGATAAGTATTACAATTACACATTTTCGTTAAGCAACAACCGGTATACCCGTTTGCCTCTTTCCGGCACGTCCGTGTAGCGATTTTTCCTGCTATAACTTTTATAGCGTCATACCATATTCGAATTGCCGTTCTCTGTTCCTTTTTCTGCGTTTTGGATACCAATTCATTCCACTACCGCCACTACCATCCACAACGTTACTTCAGTTCTTTCCCTTTTGTAGTTTGCCCTCCCCATCTCCATTTATTTTACCTTACTGCGTATGATATGCCTTCTAGTTTTGTATTCTTTCTAATTTAAGAACTTTTAATTCTACAAAGTCAAAATGTAAAGACGCTCTGATGTTAAGCATACTTCTCTCTTAGTTTAACGCTTAAAATTTTTTTTTAGAAGTAATAAATATCTAAATGTTACCTGGTGTAAGCGTCATAAGTCCGCCCGCAGGTTGCACGCAAAGGTTGCTGTGAGCGCAGGCCATGCGACCATCTGGCAGAAGTCTCCACGCCTGCGTAGAGGCGCGTCTCGCATCGGCGCGACGCAGTACGAGCGGCGAGCTAACGCCTGGTCTAGGCGCAGCACCTTCTATATCCAACACCTTTACACAAAGCGACTTCTTTTAATTCATGAACACGCTAATACAACGCTATATTTAAAAAACGAGATAAAAAACGAAAATTTTAGTTTGCAAAGCTTTATGACAGGACTAAAATCGGCATCCACAAGGTTCCACGCTGTTAATTTTTTACCAATTCGGCTACCATGTCACGTCATAGGCGATTTTTTTCAACGTTGTGATATATGCAACTCTCATGCCATTTAATCTCAAACTTAACACTTGCTTTTTAAGGTTCAATAAATTATTATGCTTTGCAGCCTAAGAAAATCATTGAAGATAAAAGACTTGTTTTAAAATGTATTCAATTTCTAAACTAAACTATCATTACCATGACGTGCGGTGAAATGGTCGTCTCATCCGACAGCATGGCATCGGTGGGTTGCGGTGGCGAGCTGCCTTCGTGTATCAACTGGCCATTAGGTCCTCGGCGCCAGAGCTGAGACCTAGAAATCGATTTCTTTGGATAGCAAATTTTTACTAAACGTCTAATTACTAAACTTAAAATAATAAGCTCTACCTATCTCCATAGCGCTTGGTGGCAAGATGGACTCGCGTAGATCCAATAGGCACCTCCAACACCAGTTCTGCGTAATCCTGCGCACTGAGAGAGGTATCGGGTGGGGCCGTCGCCGTGAATGAGACGTATATAAAGTTTTGGTAAAGCAGAGTGTGGGTGGAATGAAGGGCATCCAGCGACAAGGTCAGTCGCGGCCCGCCGGGTGCGCGCAACGCCACCGCCCGCGATCCTTCCGGCTCGGGCAAAGCCCAGTGGGATCGTCCGCCAGAACTGACTACGCTTTCCTCGCTGCAACCGACCTAAATAATAAAAAGGTCTTTAACATCGACAGAATGGAAAACAATAATTTGAATTAATTAAATCGCATATACGATTCTAGTACCTGATGGAACATAATGGCGACGGGCGAATAGTTGTCGATGCGCAACGGAGGGGGAGCGCATTCCGCGTCTGTCAGCACGACCAGCAGCGCGGCGCCTTGACGAACCACCTCCGCGCGCATTATGTGGTACGACCCACCGCTCTCCCTATAAAATCAAATTATAAAACACTACAGATCTGATCAGAAATCATGTAATTTAGTTAAATAAAACACTATGGTAAATTTACTTTAACTACGACCCAACGGGTGGTTTTGCAGTAGTGGTAGACACGGAGACCGTCCCAGAAAGTTTTTAGAATGTACACATAAACTACACAAAATCTAAAAAGTATACCATTGGTTATCATTGTTTACCATAATTAATCGTAACATGTTGAATTTTTCCGAATATGAAAAGGTAATTATTGAAGAAATTGAATAGTGCATAAACTATTACCTGCAAGCGACATGTAAACTGCGCGGTGCGTCGATTTTGAAACCACCGGACCAAGAGGTAAGCGGAGTCGGAGAGGATTTAGGGCTGGAGACAGTAGAAAGCACGCGAGTGCAAATCAGCGGCTCGCGATCCCAACGGGCCCAGTGCCACGGCAAGTAGCAACCGGCCACCGCTGAAACGTGGGTTGCGCTTGCACCTGGGTCGCTCTAAGGAAAATGGTAACCATCAAATAGTGCTTCTAAAATAAGAACTAGAAAGTACGGACAGCATACGATCATATATTGTATACATTGATATAATCTATATTAAACAATGATATAACATATGCGTAAAACAAATGGTCTAAGCCGTGATTTTCAACAACACAGAATATAAATATCGTGATCATGGCTGAAACGTTTGCAAATCATTTTAAATCAGTTTTTTTTACCAAATGTTTCCACAGTATCGGGTTAAGGCGTCAGTCTGAGTATTTGAATTTAAAACCTTACATAGCTCCAGGTCCAGATACCATGCTTTTATAGTTAAGGAATTAGTTTCTTATACAGCCAATCCAATTTACTTTTAACCTTATTCTTGGAGTTACTAAAATGTTTAGTTAAAAGTACTCACGAGGGTAGTTGCGGTACACTTTTGGGCGAACTGCAATGTCCTCGAGGTGTTGTTATGGATCTGATAGCGAGGCGTGAAAGTGACAATGTTGGTGCGTCGGTGGCGCCCCCTTCCTGCTCGCACGCACACGCCCACGCTGAACGCACGGTCGCCTTCGCCGCACTCAAGCCGCTTCACACTCACACCCGGGCCCAAGCCAAACGAGGAACACCACTGATTTCAAGAACCGTATTTCATTATATTTAAACTTCGCTTCTTATTAGAGCTAACTAAAAATAACTCGATTGAAAAGCATACCTCCGAATTAGAAGCGACGGCCGTTCCGAGGCGGGCATTTATCGTGGGGCCGTCCCCGTCAGCAAAGGAGAACGGCAGGGGCGCAACCATGCGAGCCACCTCGTGCTCACTGAACTGCCCCGCCGCCTCAGTGCCGCTGCCCTCTGCGCGGAAGACTAGAGGAAGCCCTGTGCGGTTCACCAGCCAGTACGCCGCCGATAAAGTCACCTAGTAAAAAAAAAGGTTTGAGCATTGCGATGTATTGCCTTCATTTATTAATTACTTATTTAAACGTCTAACCTTAATGCCATCAGTCTTTTTGTTCGTGACCCTCGCGTTGAGGTAAAGCCTTCGGCCCTTAACGTCCCTTAGCTTGAGTCTCACAGAAAAGGAATTATTGGCAGCCCCGCTCCCAGCTGCCCCACCGCCCACACTTAGCGTAGAGGACCAAGTAAAACCTTCCAATTTCACTGTAATCTCCACTCCCTCCTCCACGTCTACCTACGATACAAAAAAATACAGACTTTATGACTTCTCAGTCAACATTATACAGAAGTATGACAAAGACCTTACCTGATGTGCTGGCTCGGTGTGTCCGGCGGGAAGATTGCCAGAAATAGGTCCAGCGCGGTACTGCAATTCCAACGGCAAAAGGTTTTCTATTTGAAGTGCCGGCACTAAACGCAACGTGTGACCCGCCATTGGCTCGCCCCGCTCTACAGGAAATTGCTCGCGTATTATTACGCAGCAAAACCTGAAAAATATTCGTAAAAAGGCGTCAGTCACTTGTTTTCGACCCCAACATAATTATTATAATCTACAATAACCAGATAATTTGACGGAGTCGATAGTTTGAAATAAAACGGGAGAACGAGACACTGCAGGTGACACGTGTACCTGCTGTCATTGATTAAGTCACCTCACAGAGTATAAAAGAGCCAGCTCCGTTCAGCATAGCGTGTTCCGTCCGATCTTTACCTACTCTACGTCCCCCCCCCCCCCCAAGACTAGATTATATTGTTGAATTACAATTATTAAGCTCCTAAACGGGGTGTTAATTCGTTATTCGTAATCTATTTTCTACCGGTAGACGTAGTCGTGCGGAGCACGACACTCGTAGTGGAGCAAAGCGGGATGCGTAGGAGCCGCGCGCCAGTCCAGAGGTGCAGGAGCAAGAGCCGGCGCAGGTAGACGACTACCGCGCACTATCGGCCGCGTCCACAACACCGGGGAGCGAGCGCTTAACGGCGCCGCCCACCAACCTCCCGCCTCTATCTGGGTGCTCCGGCCGGATGTCGATCCGCCCCATTCGCCTTTAACAATATTAAAAAAATAGATTATACAAGGTCAATAAAGCTAACAAAGTTTCAAAGATACACAGCATAATTCAGTGTACACTAAAAATAACTATAAAATACGCTTACACTATGGTCTATTGACAACTTAATGCCTAAAAATTAAAATCTATTTTAGCACGTATTTATTTTTACCAATACCAATTAGACGTTGATGTCTAAGACACGGTGGCTCAATTGCTTAGGGCAACAGCACGGAACGCTGCGGATACCGGTTTAAGCCCATCATCGGTCCTGCCCATGTCGCATTTTTTTTAACAAAAAATCTATTTTTATTATGCTATTATGTACAATATTTAAGTTTCAAACTTAACTACATGAAATACATAATAGCAAATGTTTGTATGAATGCAGTTGAAGCACATAAGTGATTCATTAATTGACAACTACAGATGATAAAGCGATTAATTATTATTTTTACTTGACAGCACTACTTAGTACGTTACTTTACAATAACGAACAGAAATATGTCGGTACGGTTAAGTTATCGTTATGCTATACGAGATGGCTGGTGAGTATGTTGTGCGTACGGTTCGTACCGCAGTTAATGAAAACGGGCAGATTGGGCGGGAGACGCGGCAACGGCGTGGGGCATAAGGCGGCCCTTCTCTGTAACGCGGCACACATACTCCGGACCGCGCTCGTGCCGCCGGGACCCAGGCCCCTCAGTGCCGCTGCAGCCACGCCTTGCCGTTGCAGCATTGCGCGCTCTGACACCGTACCGCGTAATTTACCGCATCACGATAAGTACGGTTTCGAGACGTCAATTATTATATTTAAATAACGGCAATGAATAAGGTACCTAATATACTTTGTGTTTTAAACAGGTTTAAACTGCGCGTAAACTACAGATAATCCTGTCATTAGGTGGTAAGAAAGATGTTTAAGATATCATAAATCACAAGTAACTGACCGTGCGCATGAGCATGTGGTCCGGCGTGATGCAGCCGCACGTCGACGGGATGGGGCAGATCGTTTCGAACGCAGAGCGCCGACCGCACTGTCACCAGCTTACGCGCCGAGCCTTCCAGTGACACTTCGAGCACTACACGAGCCTCAGCTCCCGATTTCTAAAAAATATATGTCAAAACAATTACACAAAGTTTTTATTAAACTTAGTAATAATTTTATTTCACAAGTAAAACTACATAAAGTGTAAAAATTTCTTCTAAGAATGACCCAAGTATTACCAATATATTACTCACGATATGCGTAATGCGTCTAAAGAAAACGCCGACCCGGTCCACACATACGGGATCCAACGGAGACCAGCCGTCAACTCTCACTACTAATCTGTGAAGTGGGGCGAGAGGCATAGGATCACACGACGGGGTACCCGCCCCGTGCCCGAACCCAACACCCCGAGCTCTTCCGCGTCGAGCACCGAACGAGAAGGGCTCAGTATCGCCTGCACGAACGCACACCCACGAATCGTCTGGGCCTGAAAATGGCATCGCTTCTCCGCCTTCACGTAATCTGTGAAATGTGAAGTAGTTTAGATTTATCATGGTGTACATATGTTATATATGTTTCTGTGAAAAGAATATACCGATCATAGATTTTTCTTTATTACATTCAATAATACTGTAATATTTTACTTTATTGCTGAAGTATACGTCTGTTATAGTTAACATTTAACACTACTTTGTTCACATTTGACTAAGGAAGTTTTTAACGTTTTGTACCTAAACGATAAAACTGTTTACTTTCTTGATATTAGTTAATTTAACTATCAATTAGATTCCAATGTTTGGCTGTACCTCGTCTAAACCTACCTATCTCCTAACTGTAAAAAGTTTAATTTTGCAGACGATTTGTTTATTTCTGTAAACACAAAAATGCGACGGACTTTAACACGTAGCAGCCGCTAAGCAGTTATGTGTTGAATAAAAACACAAAGATATTGGTAAAAACTACAAGTATACATCACAATATTGGAAATGCTCACTCGTCCGAAGCTGTAGTTAACGTAGTGAACCAAAGTCGCAGACCGGTGAGGTTTCGTAGGGCATAAGGCACAAATGGAGATCGGCGACGATGACCCGCCGGACTGCCCTTCGGCGATTGCTCTGCTTGTCCAGAGCCCTGAAGAATTATTGTATTTATATTAGTGTTCAAATATGCATAGTACGAAATCTTTTATTAAAAGCAAGGTGGTCCTAACCTGCGGAGCGTAATAATCTGTCGTCCAATTGGTTCTGACGAGCCGAACGAGGTCGATGAGCGCCGAAGTGATATTTGTGTTCAGGATCTCGCTAGATGACACTTCGACTTGCAGTCTTCGCAATGACAAAGCGCTCGATAGAGTGTATTCCCAACGGCTCTCAAACCTACGAATCACACATATAACTTTATACAATAATATTTAAAAAATCCTAATGTAAGTCAGATTAAGTTCGGAGCTTTTATAAATATAAAAACAAAGATTAAAAGCGTGGTAACTATTCTTGAAAAAAAAATCGATTCATTTGAAAACGTTTTTTATAAACCTTTGTAAGATACTTTTTCAATTTCCTACCTCCACGGCTCAACAATTGGTTCCCACCCAGAGAGCATTCTATTATAATAGTCAAGCGTTAGTTGCGCCTTCAATTTTCCACCCCCGGCGGCTGTACGCCGTCCAGCCACGTTCGTGTCTACGATCGAAGAGGTGGAAGCGCCTGACGGCGTCGATACTAAAAGTGGGTCAGCAAAGGACTCTTCTACTTTACGAAGGTCCTGAAAAATTATACAAATATATTAGAACTTCACCAAAGCATACTCCATTTACTTAATAGTTGACATTTAGACCTGTTCCAGCTGTAAATCTGCCAGAGCTAATTCTAGTAGCGGTACGTCCGAATCTAGACAATCGTCAATAACGCACAGCGTCACACAATCGGCACTAATCTGTAATCAAATAGTTATATGAGGATCACACAGATTGTATTTAGTTCTCGAGCGTAATCAAAGCAAATTTAAATAAGGAACCAATATTTTAATTGAACGCAACCATCGGTGCCATAAAATTAAATAATCGTTTAAAATGATATTAACGCTTACCTCGAGTGTTAATGATTACCTGAACAGCTCGCAACATCTTCTGCGGCTCATATGCGCTCTGCGCAGGTGGAGTTTGCGAACGGGCGCGTAACCAGCGCGGAGCCATCAGCCTCGCGGCGTTCGAAGTTCCCGCGTGCATGTGAATGCTGTTTGCGGGTTCGTCTGCTGGTGTGTCCGTCTCTGTTTTATCTAAAAAGCAGAGTAACTGTTATTGTAATCATTAATATTACGTAACAAAATTATTTGTTTAATTTCTCACCCAAAAGCGCTAGCCTCGCCTGCGCCGGTAGCGATTGCAGCATGGCCGCAAACATGCGCATGTCGTGGTACGATAATCTCAAGTTCAGCGTGCCCATGTCAACCTATTCCGAAATAATTCGTTTGTCAATTAGATTTCGTAGTAATTTTCAAAAGCTAGCGATCGATATCGATCACACTGCCAACGAGTACACTGCCCGTTATTTACATTGAGAGCACGATTGATATTTCTACTATTGCTTTTATCACTTTGTTCAACTACCGACATGAACTTCGTTTTAATTTCGTGCAAGTCCGATTTCAGGAAAATACACAAATCTCGAAGCTCTCGAAGAACTGCTCAAATCACTATTTTGACTAATTTTCGACATTTTTACTAATTTATTTAAACGTTTTTTGCGGGAGCACACAAAAACACTTGCGACCGAACGAACGAATTAATGATTAATTCTAATGAGACCGTGAAGATTCAGAAACAAAAGGTTTGTTTTAACAATAATCAAGCTACCCTTGACTTGACTTCAATAATGAAAATAATAGGTTCTTATTAAAACCCGTGTCAAAGCGAGTCAGTAGACACTGAAAACGCATGTATAAAAGGATTGTTCTCCTTCAAAAAAAAAAATTTAAAAAGTGTCTGCGACGGTGTATCTATCTTTTAATATTAACGCACGAAAATCTTTTTTATAGCAAACAAATTTAGTCGCAATACATCGCACGGCAAAAAAACCTTTGCCAGGTCAGCTAGTTTTATTACATAATTAAACTTACATGTAGCACCGAGTCCGCATGCAAAGCCACGTGCAGCGCCGACGGGTCCACGATCGCCAGCGCCGTCTCGTCTTCCAAGCCGAGCACGCACGAAAACACCTCCAAGTCATTCAGCTCACAAACTACTGGTCGCTCCTTGTCCGCTGGTCTATATGTTATTACTGTTGTGCTCTGTACAAAAATATGGAGTTTATTTTGAAGGTTGGTTTTTGATTTAATTTTGGACATAGAAGCTTAAGGAAATAAAGGTCTTTTTTTAATAAATGAGAACAGACAAACACGGGTCACTTGATGGTAGGACCAATACCCCAGACTATAGCATATAAACAAGATGCGATGTCGAACTATTTTGACTTTGGATGCTTACAATCAGGCACGTCAAAAAAAATATTAAAACGCCAGTTACAGCTACTTTAACTTTTACTGTTTACCAGGAATGGCTATTCGTCATTGACTAACAATACGTTATTGGGACCGGCCGTAAGACAAACATCGACAGACAGTTTGAAAAAATACCCACCCCTGAATATTCCAGTTTCTAACATTTTACGGATTTAAGTGGGTAGTCATATAGATGGTAGTTTTCGTTCGATATTTTACTCCGAGGTTGGGATCCGGGAATAGAAGAGGAGGTTTCTTGAAAAATATGAATTCGTACACCGTCATCACGTCGATCAGTTTTTAATTAGATATGAAAATTCTTCTAAGCGAATTATTACACTTTGGTGGCCTCAATTTAAGACCCTATTTACAACAGTAAACCTTATTTAAAATTGATTTGTATGGTGCTTTAAACCGATGTAACACGTTTGCATTACAATTCGTTCTAAGAAAAATAATAATTGAAGCCAGGCTGCGAGGCAGTCTATGATTTTAGATAACTTTGTAGAGCATTTCGATTTACCACATTATATTTATAGAAAAATGTCACGATTATATTCTTCCAGGACGACGTGGCAATGCATAGCGTCTACAGCAAATTATTTGTAGGTAGGTGGCTTTGCTTTACCTCCAACTAATATAACAATTTTCTGCATCAAGTCATGTAATTTACGGGGTCCAACTAACAACTACATCGTTATGTGTATTTAAGTAGGTATATTGAAGGTCGACACCGCAAAAGTACGTCGATACGTGGCTATACACGTGTCGATTTACTTGAATTTCACGAAGACCCATTCATACCCATATTAGCCCTCAAAAAGATAGTAATTGCGCGGACGCAAATCATGAATTCTACTACAATATATATTTACAATAAAGGAAATGTTTATTTGAATATCGACAACGTGTCCCGTTCTATTTTATGTGCGATAGGTTGTTCGGCCCGAAAGACAATGATATGCTGAACGATGGCCGTGAAAGCCTTACACAATTTACAGTTTTAACTGTTATATTATTCGAGATATTTTTATAATGTTTTGAAAATGGTCTGTTTGCATGCAAAAATACAAACAGCTCCCAAACGGAATCAAGTTAATTTTGATATTACTTTGTATTAACATCGTACCTTCAGTATAACGGCGTTAGTGTCCCATACGGAGGCATCTTCTACAAGCACCAGCTGGGAGTCGGTCACATTCAGTTTGAGCTCCATAAGTTCAGTTCCACCCTGCGTCCCACCCTCAGCGCCGTTTGACTTATTATTGCCCGATTCTAGCGTTTGTTCCTCACTGTAAATTATGTTTTAATACACACGTGCTTTTAGAATCTCTAGTCCCCCACACTTCAATATCATTTCCTAGTTTACGTTCATCTTATTCCATAGTGACTATGGTCGTTCGACACTTCGTCAGGTGTACTTACAAGTAAATCTGATCGGGATCAGAAGGTAGCGGCGGTGACTGCATAATGAATTGGTTCGCCGCTTCCCACCAGTCCAAAATGGCCATTAGACGCATGTTGTTGACTATTATAGTGTAGGCAGATGATTCTGGGCGTTTCCTGTGCATATATGTAATTTGTTTGTAGCTTTTACTTCATAAATATACTTCTTATACGAATTAAAATCGATTTAAGATTGAAAAAACTTGCGAAACGCGCTGGATTTGAACCTGTTCTGTGCTGTTGTCTAACCAATTGAGCTACCTGACCTACACGTCATCGTCATTTTTTTTTCACCTATTGATTACATGTACCACTTGCGCAGCTTTTTAAATCTAAAATCGATTTTTAATTTGTATAATGTCATGTGAGAAATATTAAAATTTTTGTCCTCCTTATTTATCCCACAGTGGAGCAACAGATTTACCTGGCGTGCAACTCGGCCTGCACAGTATGGGGGTGGTCGGGCTGCGGCTGCACGATCCGACTGAACACGTTCCCTCGTCGGTTCGCTGGCTCGCTGTTATACCGGCTGTCGCAGACTAGGATTTCCTATAATAATTATTCAGATGTACTGAAAATTGTTACTAATACTAATCGATACTTGACAACAAATTTAGCCCCCACGAACAATTAGAAAACATCATTATGGTATTCAAAATATTTATCCAACACCCTCAGTGCAGAATGAATATTGTCCAATGTGGTATTTGATACAGGGGTTACACACCTGCGAAACCAGATCGATATCTTGGCTAGTGTCCGAATAGGAATCGAGCAGCAGCCGTGACTTAATGAAGTGCACGCAGGCGAGAGGAGGCGCTGAGTCGCGACGCAGTTCCACCTGGACATCTTGCAGCTCCAAACGGACCGACCATGTGCGGTAGACAGAGCCTATGGTTAATGAAAAGAAATAAAATTTTAACAAATTAAAAGCTTTTTGTATATAAATGGCTACTGTACAAAAGTGCATTTATAGTACGCGGGACAACATTTACCTGAAAATTGCGGCGCCGGTTCGGGGGGCTGCGCGATGAGCTCCGTGCAAGGCTCGCCAAGGTTGTGTGAGAGCACGCCACGTATCAGACGATACTGCGCCGAGTCCAACGAAATCTGAAGGGTAGTCAATGTGCCCTGCAAAGTTGTTTCTGCCACTGGAAACAGAAGAAAGTATTTGTAATTTAAAATATGATGATTGATTACGATTTATTCACACATTTTATTTGAATAAATAATAATAGCAACTAACCGTTGTGAGTTTGATCGCAGTTAATCTCGAGCTGCAAAGTAAGATGCGCGGGCGCGGGAAGGAGAGGTGGGCCACACTGCCGCACGCGAACACCACGCCCCCCACTAGCGCTACTACCCCCCTCTGCACACCATATTGATACGCCTTCTAAACGAATTGTCCGTACGTCCAGCAGCTCACGTTCAGCTAAACCATAACATAATACAAGTTTAATATGTAATTAAATATATTAGTACATACTTAGTTGCACTGCAAGTATTTATTTCGGTGAGAGTAAATAGTCAATCAAACGAGGAATCCAAAGAACGACGACTGTTTATTGCATAAAAGTCACAGCTACCTACAAATTTACACTAAAATATAAAATAACTAATCTACCGACATCACTATTTTGAAGAGTAGAGCGGCGGTGAATACTTACGCCTGCTAGGATCCAAGACCGTGCTGACAGTACCCTGAGTGCCAGCGCGTTTGAAGCAGTTATCGATGTAAAGGAGACGCAGCACCGCCGCCAACGCCGCGCGACTTCGCCCCGACACGGGCAAAACTATAACTGGCGATTCGCAGCGCACCTTTAAGTGCATCCGCTGGAATTGCGACGCGTCGCGGATGGCGCTCGAGACCTTAAACATCATATACATTTTAATTATTATTACTAAGCACACACATGACCTGAGAAACAGTTTAAGTGATATGACTTGATTTTGTTTTACACCCATGGTAGCAATGTAGGAATAATAATCAACGAGTCGTGGCTTTAATTCCCATTGAGTCTAGCATGTATATAAATATCAATTCTGATATGAAATGAGGGGGGGGGCTAAATTTCATCTGGCTCAGCCAACGCCTATAGATGAAAAATCTTCCTAATGTCCAAAATAGACAGTCAGCGCATTTCTTTACGATCTATCGAGTACGAGTCATAAGAAATATGTATTGATGAGCATTTACAAACCTTACGCCGCGCCTGTACAATAACGTGCCGTAGCAAACTGAAGTCGCGCGCAAAAGCCTGAAGTTCTAACACGAACCGGCGCGTATGCACGTAGGTGAGAGGGCCCATCTCCAATTCCAAGCTAGTCTCGTACCCCTTAACTGCAGCTTCTTCTGGACTTAATCTGTGTATCGTTTTTATTAAAAAATGTTGATATCACAGTATTGTAAATATTTACAGTGCAACAATTACGAAATTAATAATTTCCTTTGAGTATGTTTCTCTTCTTTGTATTATACATTTTGGCAATGAAAAAAATCTCAACCAGCATCAAAACAAGGCGATTAAGATTCGAAATTAATTAAAAATATATTCCGCAAGTCCTGCCTGTGTGACTTTGAATTCAGGACCACAGGGTTGCGATATGTTCCTCTTAGCAGCTAGCGGATCCACCTCATCAAGTTAAGTGAATCAAATTTACTGTTGCAGTATTAGATATAAAATTTTACCTACTCTTAAATAAACAAAAAATACATACCGATGATAATGCATAACGAGAGCGTTCTTCGCTCTTGTGCGCAGTCTGTCTCGCCACAGAGGAGCACGAGGGGCTAGGTCGGAGAGTACGAGTGCGCCGATGGTGGCGCGAACGTATCGCTGAGCTGGTGCTCGGCTGGCACGCACGCGCGCCGAGACCCTGGACACGAGAGCGCGGCAGGCATCTCCTCTCGCACCCACCACCACGACAGATAGAGAGCGCACGCGCATCTCTGTCTCTGTTATGCCACCGTCTGATTCCGCTGCCACTACAGCCTCACTCTGGCCGTCCACAGCATCTTATGAAATATAGCCGATATAAAATCACAAGATCTCACAAGCAACACACATTTTACTTAAACGAAGGTAATGTAAGGTGGTAATGAGATTGTAAATACCTTTTCCCTGAGGATCTAACGTTGATGCGTCTTGATCAGCTTCGTTAACGCCAAAGAAGTCTAACACGGCGACCCAACTGTCGATACTCAAAACTAACTTCAGGCAATTGAATTCGACTTTTGTCAGTCTTGCCACCTTGAAAGTGAAAAGCAAATGTTTAATTTCAGTTTTTTACAAAGTTCATTTAATATGGTAGATTAAACTCATTAATGTCCCACCCACCAATATAATTTCCCACTCATATGATAGAGGGTTTGAAGTGTAAAGACCCACCAGAATTCCCCTACCACGGGTTAACCATAAGGAGTAAGGTTACCCTACCTACCCTACCCTTTAAAATCGTGATGATAGAAATTTTCTTATATATCTCATGATCGATGTTGTTGATTTCACCGAGCAACAAAAAAAAAGAGTTCTTCCTTTGTTAAACTAACTTAACTTTATTTTAAATCTGGTTGTCTAAGTGACATATCGATTCATTTTATTATGTTCATTTAATAGTTAAAAAATATATACCTTATTGAAGTGATCGTTAAAATGGGGATGTTGCGGATCTCTCGTATGCACGGACACCCACACAAGGTTGTCGTCTCCGCCTCCTTCCATTGCAGTTTCACTAACGCTGGGCGCGCCCTCTACAGGCGAACAGGGAGGTGTAGGACCACACTTACTGTCTTGCTTCTCGCGGAATCGCTGTAATACATGAATAAGAAAATATATATTCTTTATATGAATGAAATGCACCTACATCCCCACTTTGTTTTAAATAGGCACACCCGTTTTGATTTTTCCAATTGTATTTCATTTACTTTTTAACAACGCGAAACGACAGACAATGTCTTATTATTTGAAAAATCTTCAGTGACAGACAATATAACGGTTGGTAACTTTTATGTAACAATCACGAATCAATCAACAAACCTCTTTTTCAGTTTTCTTGTCATTGACGTTAAGACCGGAAGGCAGAGATGGTCTGCTAGTTAGCTGATTCCTGTGTAGTACGGGCATTGCACTACTAATTGTGCCCACGTGGCTTGAGAAATCTGGACAGGACTTGGACACGAACACGGCCTTAGGTGGGACCGGCGGTGAATGTGATACCATAAGCATTCGATGTCTTGAATCTGGGTCTTTTGTTAGGTCTTCCATGGTGATCGAATATAATGATACCTGCAATAATAAAAAGAATGCGTCGCCTAGACCAGAAATGCATTGCCCAACATTTGCAAGTCCGTGCTTCAAATTAGAAGGCAACAAGAATAGTTTCGGAAGAAAAATCGGTTTGAAACGTCCCTTGCCCCACAGGCAGAAAAGGGATAACAAGAGAAATTTGCGATATTATATGTTAATTTAGCTTATGTACAGAGTGTGAGTTGATTACTTGTATCAAATACTACCCAAGCTGTACATTGAACTTACTTGCATAGTAGTTTCGTGCGGATGGAGATGTTCGTGGCGCAACAGAAACTCTCGGAACGTTAAGGCCACCAGACTCCTTTCACCAGAGCCGAGGTCCGCCCGCAGTTCCACCGTGAAGTTTGCCAACTCGAATGTTACTGAAAAAAAAAATGTTAGGTTTTGAATTTCTCTATCACCAGAAGAATATGCATTCACTTAAGATAACTCGCAATTTATTATTTACTTGTAATGTATATTACTCACTATATAAAATATAAATAAAACTTGTAATTAGTAATATTCAAACCATAGTAAACTGTAACTAACGGTAAGAACTAAGTATATATATATCTAAAAAAAAAAAAAAAAAAAAAAAAAAAAAATATATATATATCTAATATAACGACTAACACACTTTATTATCCTACAATCTAGATACGAAACATTACTGTACGAATTATACAGTAAGATAGTATACAAATAGTCCTTTGTTTTTAAAACGTAGATACTACTGAAAGTAGTGAAAAAAAATATCATCTAACCAATATATGACGTATGTGAGACTTGAGGAAAGAACGCTTGTGCTGGTGGGGGTATGGCGAGCACAGCAGCACGCACAGCAGGATCCAGCTGAAGAGTTGGAACCGAGGGCTCCGACAAGGTGCTCGTCTGTAAATACATTAAATCTGATATATGGCCAAGGAACCTGCGACCTGAAACTCATATAATCGAGGCAATACTTAAGTCCGTTACATTAACATTGCAAAACACGGACCTCTCGCACTTGATCTGTCACATCTAGGCGATCCGTCAAATCTGCAACCGCCGAGTCCGCGATCCACTGCACCGTTTCCAGGAGTTGTTCGTATTGCTCGCGGCTGGCCGTTACATGCAATCCACCTACTACTTTTCCCTCCACTTGACACTGAGAACAAAAATATTTTTTTGCTATAGTACAAAAACTGTCTCACCAATTGTATTTAAAATTTATTCCTAAACAAAAATCCTACTTTTTAATATTTATGACGGGGCATGGAGCAGACAAGTCTATCTATATAATGGAAGCAATACATAACATATTTCACAACCCAAAACCTTATTATTATATAACTGACACTAAACTGTTATGAGAACGTGTACCCATGCGAGGAGACTCTGTTGAGAAATTTACAATGTTGGCGAAACTTCAAAAGGGTATGTTAACCGCTCAGGGTGCAGAGAATTCATTTAGGATGCCGTGAAGGGTAGGGCAACAGCAAGGAATGCGTGGCCATAGTTTTAAGTCGCGCCCGATCGATTATTTTTCGATCTAGAATATCTTTAATCTATTAATAAATAACGAACCTGCGGCTGTTCATCGTTATCGCTAAGGGTGAGAGCGAGATGCAGAGCGGTGTCGTGCAGCACCGGTTTGCCTCCCGTTGCTTCATATAACTGCTGCATGCTCGCCGTTGCAGTGAGTTTACGTAGACGGTCGCTGATGTTTAACTAGAACGGTGAAGACATAGATCTATAAAAACTTGACACTCTATAGATAATATATATGTAATATTTATGATAGAGGACAGACAAGCACGGGTTATGCTCGTCTGCCCACTATCTTATGGTCTTTCTTGATGGTAGGGGTAACTTTGGACATTCGAAAACTCACAGACTGAAACGGCTTTTTCATCTGTGGATGGTGATTTGTGACCACCAAATTAATATCCAGATTTTCAGACGAAATTTTACATGCTTTAGAAAAATTAAAAAAGGACTAGAAAAAATTTGAATCCGGTGGGGATCTAACCCACGATCCCGTGTTTATTAGCCACACTTTGCTATCATTACATCACCGAGCCCTAAAAATGAAACTTACCGATACGAGCGAGATGTCCCTGACTCGCACGTGATAAACGGTATCCCTGGGCGCTCCCGGCCGATTCGACAGGCTCATGCGACCCAGATGTGCTACGAACACTTCCGGACTCCGAGCAGCGCGAGGGACGACCACCACTGGCGACTCGAGCTCTACAGTTACACTGTAAAATGACCAGATCACTTTTTAAATTTCATTATTTTTTAACAGTTTACAACTACACCCAGCGTCAAAAAAATCGCACCTTTTGGTATTTTGACTTCAAGCAACTATAAACCCTATTTTATCTTTGGTAAGGTATAAGTGTGGGCCTCATTTTAAAGGTAATTAAATCCTTCAAATAATAAAACTGATTAATGTGATTACTAAGGATATAAAAAATATTTTTCATGAAAAAAGGAAAAACCACCCAAAATTACTAATTAAATTTATACAAGAACATACAAAATTAAAAATACATAAATAATTAAAACTAAACTTGTTATCTCCCTTAGCCCTAATAACATACACCAATCCTTCATTAAACTCATCATCACGAGCGTTCTTGAGGAATGTCACTCCATTCCTCGAGAACGGTGTCCCGAAGTCTGTCCAAGGGTGGCACGGGCAGTATTACGAGACCGTCCCGGCGTTTCAGATCATCCCAAAGGTGCTCTATAGGATTCAGGTCAGGACTTCTCGCTAGCCACTGCATCACGGGGATCCCAACCTGATTCAGGTAGTCCCGAACAATTATTTCCGTATGGGAGCGGGCGTTGTTGTGCATGAATGTGAATTCAGGCCCGACAAAACCAGCATACGGGACCACATGGTCCTCCAGTATCTCTGTGATGTACCGATGAGCAGTCCCCCTGACCACGTGCACCTCCAGTGCAGGAAACGAACACAAGATCGGTTTTTCCTTGGATTGAAATTCCGCCCCAGAACATGCCGGATCATCCTCTGTAGCTGACGATTTCTTCAAAGCAAGCCTGTGAGTACCGTTCCCCCTGCCTCCTGTACACTCTTCTACGCCTAGCATTGCAGAAAAAGCATACCCTAGTCTCGTCGGAAAAGAGGACGGATTCCATGGATCCATTGGTCGAACGTCCAATCCACGTGGTATCGTGCCAACTCAACAAGTCTGACTCGCCTATGCTCTGCTATCAATTTGGGGCCAGTAGCAGCCCTACGGGCCTGGATTTTCTTCTCTCGCAGCCTTTTTCTTATTGTGGAAACGCTCACTGACGTCCTCCGAGCTGTTCGGAGCTGCTTTTGCATGTCAACAGCGTTGGAGAATCGGCTACGCAAAGACTTCGACACAATATAGCGGTCGTCTCTGTCGGAAGTGCAACGTCGTCTTCCGGTCCGTTCCTTGAGCCACCATTTTCTGGAACCGTGGGATACTCTTACCCGGAAACTTAGTTGAATTTCGACAAATCACTTGGTACTCCTGATTGCAGTAGTGTATTGAACTGTTCTTCTGGGTATCCATTTTTTAGGTATTTTTCTTCTGATTTCAGTGTACTTCTTAATCTGAGTATGACCCATAATTCATATTTACACCTCCATTTTATTCGTGTCTAAGGTGGCACAAGTAGTGGGTCCTCTAAGGACCTTTTAAGCACCTTTTTTTAAAGACCCTAACGTTTCCTGATTATTGTTTTTACAGAAAAGAAAGCTACGCGTTTTTAAAGTATAAATAAGTTAAGAGTATTATTCGCTTGAAGTCAAAATTTCTAAAGGTGCGATTTTTTGACGCCGAGTGTAGTATGATGTAGTTATTAGTGAATGTAGCAGACAATAACTGTCTCAGATCTGCCGAAGAACGCGAACCATCAAAATTTGCACATGACCGCTAAAAAAGCGAATGCTAACCTCAGAATAAGTTGTTGCGAGTCACGGTCGGGCTCGTCGAGCGAACAGCCGAGACTCGTAGTTCGGCGTCGCGGAGACACGCCGTCCATCGACTGCGATAGCTTCGGATTCGCGTATAAGGACTCCGTGCTGGAAGTTGTTGGCATTGCCGAATATAGATATTAAATGGCCCTTCAAGAAATTGTTATAAATAGAACAAAAATGTATGTTTACAATACATTTCAATATAAAAATACTGGGTGCACCCGACTTACATATATACAAAAACTTTTAATTCAATTTACCGTGGATGTACAAGACCGATGGCCATGTCGGCGGCTGCAGCGCGGATGGAGCGCGCTAGGTTAGCGAGGTACTGCTTGAACTCTGTGAGACAGCTCTGCAACTCGCGCAATAGCGGCCCCGAGTGCGTGTACCAAACGCTTGCGACCTGCACTTGCACTTTCACCTCCACCACTGTTCAACATAACACAGGTTACAATCCCCTTTTCATTGCCATAAATTGCAGTGGAACAAAAATAGAAAAGATAGAAGAAAAATATATAAGAGTTTGTATAGGTTAATACCTTTTTCGTTTTTATTAAGTAAAAGCACCTATCACTACTACTTAGGACGCAAAGCAAGAAAAAAGAAACATTCGTACTTCTAATACAAGTGTGCTTCTATCACTTACCCGGCACTTCATCTTCTATCAAAGGCTGCACCACGTATCTCGTTATATTAAAAAACAGCGCTTTCTCTTCACTAGCCTGCGTATTCGGCTGCCTGTGTGTGGCGAGTGGGGCGAGGGGAGCGGGCGCGGGGGGCGGTCGGCCGGCAGACAGGATGCGCGAGTGGACCCCTGCACCCTCCGATAAAGAAACAACCTGTACACCGCCAAGCGATCCACTCACCTCTACCCTGGATCCGTCTATGAATATATAGAAAAAAAAAGAGAGTTGAGAAATAACTTTTTAAATTTGCGTTAGGTCATGTAAGACTACGTGCATTGTCGATCTAGATAAGAATGCATTTAGATTTTTAGTCTTTATATGTAAACTGTTGGAGCCACTTTATGGTAAACTGAAGTAAAATTTAAACTCTGTATTTTACAATACTCTGATAGTTAAATGACATACAGATACTTCATAGTCTGATGAATTAAAGATACCGAAATTCCGTAATCAGTAACATTTTGACAAATAGAACCTACGCAATGTGGCCTGGATGCGTGCATCGCCGAGAGTGGCAGTCGCTATCTTGTTGGCGACCACAGCGCCCTCTCGAACAGCAGCGCGTAGCAGTAGTACTCCCAGCCGATGGAAATCAAACGTTATTTCTGTCCGAACACCTACCTATAAAAGATAAGACTAAGTACTAAGGCTTCCAAACAAAAATCGTATGTTGATTTGTATTATTCATTAGTACAAATACATAGTTAAGTAATGCAGTAAAAGAATGCCAACCTTCAGTTCATCGTCGACAGTCGGCATAGACAGTAATGAGGCATGTGTCGGTCGCGAGGTGAGCGGTGCCGGGGGGCGCTTGGGGGCACCCCCTGTCACGCGATGAACGAATCCTATCAACTCCACTATCGTCTCCTGATTTGCTAATGAATAAAAATACTGTTAGACCAAATATGTATAAGCATATTTAACATATAGTAAAATTTTAGCTATGCGCTATCGTTACAGCAAAATAGCCAATCCCTCTTTTATAACTAAATCTGTATCCAATAATTACATGAAATGAAGAAGAACCCTTGACTTAGCGAATGAGAAATAACACAAAAGTTTAAAGCTTACCGATAACATCCAAATTATTGAACAGAATATTAGCAATTCTTAAATCTTCCGAATCTCCTTCTCCTTTAACCAAACACAACTCGACCGCGATGAGGGCCTCCGAGTCGACAATTCCAGGTGTCGCCCAGGCGGGTCCTTCTGATCCCCAGCCACAGCCCCAACTGCTGCTCCAACTGGTCGGGATCTGGGTGCCCCAGTTAAAACTCGTAGCTCCGAAAGTATTCTTAGTGCCTGCACTGCTAGCCCAGTTTGTAGAAGGACTTGTGCGCCCAGCCTCGGGAAAATCTAAAATATAAAATTATAATATCTGTAATCTTTTAGCAATTAGAATATAATATTGGCAATTTGAACTCTGACTTGCATTCATTCTTTAGCCATAGCTAAGCAACCGATGCACCCATTTCCTATCCAAATGTAAGATATATGGAAAGTAACTTACGGTAACTTAACTACCGACTTTACCTAAATGCCCAATTTTGCTAGTAAGAGTAACATGATACTTTTTTACTACAATATTCGTTTTTTCTATTTTGTTGTGTTCCTGTCAGTAACTTCACTTAATCCCATTTTATAATAGGAGAGAGGAGATTGCCATATACCAATATAAAATAGATAGATTATAATAAGAAGTGCTTACAAGAGTCATGTAAAGAGTGCAAAGCACGGTGCAAGTCTCGGGGCGACGGCGCAGGTGGCGGTGCTCGGCTATCAGGCGACGCGGGGGAGGTCGGAGACGTTGGCTCCGATCCCCGGATACTGCCTGATGTGGTATCCATTCTGGAATCGAAAGTATCATTCATTACTATGCAATATCACACTTTAAATCGGTATGTAGGTTAATGGTAGAAATTAGAACAATTATGGTTCATCTAATTTTAACGCTAATTCTCGGTACAATTTGACTAAAAACTTATGAGTTTTAACAACGAATTTAACTTTTCCAATAATGTATAAAGCCCAAATTATAAACATTATTTTAACATAAATAAATTGACTAATTTATATTGCTTTTTAAACCGTTACAAGTATTGTATTTATATATGTACTTCACACTATACTATAGGCAATACCGATATACATAGTTGTACGAGTATGAGGAGATTATTAATACAAACCTTAGCTAGTGCAGCGATACTTTTTCCCCTATTAAAATAGTAATAGAATCAAGTTCTTTTAATAGAACAATTGGGACCCACCCGACATGTTTATGGCTCGCAACAAGTAGTTCGAAGTCCGGACCGTACGTCTGCAGAGCATCGACTAGAAGCAGCGAGTGCACGGAGAGCGATACGGACGTGTCACATGGCCGTGCACTGACCGCTGCGCGTACGCCGCACACTTGCACTTCGGCGATACTGCGCCCGCGAGACTGCACCTTTACGTAAAAGCACGTTTATACGTCGGGCCACAAACAATGCACAATAATTTTAATACTATATTAGAGAACTACTTAGATTTAAAAATATGACACGTCGGGCCTTGAGACGGCATCCATAGCGTTCCGTGCTCTTTTCTCGAACCAAATGAGCCGTGTTTATTTTTACAATCTAAGAGATTTTTAAGTAATATATTGTCATCATGCGCAAAAGTTAAATAACAAAAATTTTATAAACATTTTCAAACTTAAATATTTAAATTATTTTATTTATTTTTATTTTATTTGGATACAAAACAAACAGTCACTCACAAAACAATAGATTACTTAAAGCCTTAAACAAATAGACCTGAAGATTTAACTTAACTATACATACTTGACGGAAATACAACAAATCTATAACACAGTAAAATAAATATCTTAGGAACAGGAACAAGAAAGTAATAACAATAATTTTAAAACTACGTCTTAAATATTAAATTAGACATACAAGTTTTGTATTTAAAGAAAAATATCGGTTGAATTTAAATTTTTATCATAAAAATTACTTCTTATAATGAAAATATTTTTCAGCATCCGAAACGTCGGGGGTAGGGTAGGTTTCTCCTGTTTTGCTTGGCAGTTCTAAAATTTCAACATGGTTCAAGCGCGAGATCTGGTCTTGCAGGTTATGACTATGTTTGAGAAGAGCGACTTCCTCTCTAGAACTGTAACAGTCGGTGGAGATTTTAGTTATTTTCAGTTCCAGTTAGCCCATTCGTTCTTTAACTCCCGCATCGCGTCCACAGTATCGTTAGTCACCTTATCCAGATCTTCACCGTATCCAGATCCAATTTGAAACTATTGAATTCAGCCTTCAAGCTCTTTAACTCCCTAAAAATTTCAGCGTTTGATAAGCACTCGAACACTGCGCACAAGACACCGAGTCCGTCGAAGGTTAATTGCATTTGGTGCAATTCACGTTGAAAACACAAGTAGTGTTATAGAAAAAAATAAACACGCAAAACACTACCGCCACTCGCGTTGATCGCGGAATTATATAACATAAATCAGGACAGAGACGAACATATCACTAGACCAACATAGCTTTTTTAGTCCAGCGATATGTCTTGTATGTAGTAATGAGAAAGGGGGGAATAAAGTTAATCTAAAACATTCTTTAATCACAAGGGAGTGAGTAAAAATTTCTAACCTCAAGTGACAGCTGATCGATGGCGAATTGCAGAAGTAACAGCGTGGCATTGTTATGTGTCGAGAATTCAGAATGCTCCGTTTCAGAACTAATACTGGTTTCTTCTTCTTCGTCTTCATTAAACTTCCCATCTTGATTTGGGGACCTTGAAAGAGATAATTGAAAAAAGTTATTAAAATGTTTATTTAAAAATGTACTACTTAAAATAATATATGCATAAAAAATAAGACAACTCACTGAAGATGTTGCTGAGGCTTGTGCACGTGAGCAGTCTGCGCGGTCAGCACGGCTCGCAGTGCAGCTAATTTGTGCTCAGAGAGATGAACTACGAGCGCCGGAAGCGATCCACAAAGAGCCGCCGTTGGATATTGGGGGTCACTCGTCTGGACGACGCGACGCTCCGCCTACAACAGAACATTGCTGTAAGAATACTAAATTTCCCACACACATTCACATAGTATTTTGTTTTTTCTAGACTTGTTGTGTCATTGCCTTCAAAAATGAACGGAAGAACTAATACTACCCTACTTTCTGCTACTACATATTATGTTGTAAGTTTTGTAGAGACAGCGCATTGTACAATTGGGGATTGTGTTAGATCTTAACTCTTCACTTGTTCTATCAATACCTCGTATGCTCGTCTCAAAAATAATAATACAACTTGCTCAATCAATAACAAACCTGCAAGGAAATGCTGAATCTATCCAGCAGATGCAGCGCCGAAGTGGCCTTCGTGTGAGCATACTTCCAATTATCACGTGCCCGACCCACCATAATTTGAAGATCGCTCAGCTCAATTTTATATCTGTTTGAAATATTTAATATTTATTTATGAGAAGGATATGTATCATTACAGTACCGTAAAATTATTTTAGTGTATGCCACCAATACCTGTCATATAAGCTTATGTGCAAGTGCGCTGGATCGAGGGGTCGTGGCGCGTTGTTGGGCAGGTCGGGTGGTGAACCGGGTGACAGTAAACTGCCCGGCGGAGTCGAGCAGGGCGTCATAAATGTTTCTACAAGAGTTTTATTAAATTAATAACACAATAGAAAACATATTAAGTGTTGTTTATTTCTTACTATACTTTCAAATAAACAGTTATTGACGATTATTTATATTAAGTATAAATTCAGTATCGTAAAATAATAAATCGATAAACCAATAAGACCAACTATTAATGATTGATAAATAATTTGTAAATCAAATCTTACCTTCATCTTCGTCCAGTACTTGCGGTTTGGGCTCTTCTTCCACGAGATTGGCGTTCGCTAACCTCAGTCTACCGAAGTCCACCACGAGCACGGATGCATCGCGATCACACAAATCCTCAACGAATAGAAGTTGTGGAGCTGATATATCTAGTTCCACGCTCCACGATCGCCGGTCATTCTAGAATAGAAGGTATAAATACACAATCAATAAGATAGATAGATGTAGTCTAATAATTGTATTGTTAGTTTCAAGATCAATCATTTAGCATCATACATATGCCTTAAGTAACGTAAGAAAAATCAAAGGTGTTCGAACTCTGTTTTAGAAATCTTTTATCGCTCTTGTTGGACATTCTAAACATGGCAAAAGACAATACCGGCGTTCTCTTGGCGTGCAGTAACTTCTCGTATTGGCTCATGATAGTAGCGCGCGTCTGATCGCGTACTTGTGCAATGGCACGGCCTGGGCCGGCGCCCCCGAGCGCCGCCCACCGCTGGGCCCATCGCGCTACCTCTAAGCACCACACGACCTCCACCGATCTAGATTTCACGCGTAGTCTGGAAATAAATGGTAATAGTGAGTCGTGTTAACGTTTTTACGTTTAACGTCCATTTAAAATAAATTATCAAGATTTTTAACGGCATATAACTGTACTGTAATATGTTATGTGGCCTTACTTGTGATCACAGTTGAGTCCAAGCGGTTTTTTCTCATATGTCAGCTGAAATAGGGGCTCCTTTTCGGCGCCGTTGTTCGTATCAGGTAGCGGTGACGGCTGCGCGGGCGCTTGGTGCGCCTTCCACCATGTAGCTGCACTCGACGCCGGGTTCATAGCGCTTAAGCCTTCGCGTATCATACCCTACGAGATTATTGATTTTCATAGAATATCCATAGGCATATAATTTTAGTATAGAGTTTTTAAAAAATGATAAGACTGAATGGTGATACAATCATAAATATTCTCACCTGGGGGGCCACGAGGACCGGGAAGAGTGTGCGAGGATTAACATGGTCGCGCAGACACACGGCGCCCAACGAGGCGTGCAGTGCGAGTGCGCCTGCGCGGGGTCGCGACTCGACTCGAACGCGCACTGAACTAAACTGCAGCTCAACACCGACACTGTCGGCGTCAGGTGTACTGCAGTTTCAAAATATTTAATAAGCAAAACACGTTAATTACGCTGTCTCCCATAAAACCCACAGTTTTTATAAGAAATTATTATTAGAGCAACGTCAATTTTTGGCTTTGAATATATATTAAGTGAAACTTCGAGATGTCTTCATATGAATACAAAGAACGCACCTTATATCGTCGTCTGCTTCTGTGTACAAATCGAATGACCCCGTGTTCAGCGTAAATTCGAAGAGGCCAAAGAGAGCATCCCTTCGTAGAAGCGTGTTGTCGTCGAGAGAATCCGCTATAACATTCAGGATCTCGTGCTCGAGACGGGCCGCCGCAGGCGGTCCGGGCGTATACCACCCCCACCACTGCGGAAACCAGCGCACCAGGACAGACCGGCCCGATGAAGACTGCTCGGAGCCAGTAGGGGCCGACGCGGGAATTTTACGAATCGCTACCTGTTTGCAAGAAAAAATTTTACGTTTACAGTACGTACGTTTTTAGTTCAGGAAAAGGATTTTTCTTCCAAAATTTTGCCTCTGATACTTTTAAGAGTTCGGAATTAAGAATTAGCTACGCTAGCTATTAAAAATACGGTTGCTTTTTATAAAGCTCGTAAACTGGTATTTTCATATGAGTTTATTACTATAATTGTAAGGGTTAAAATAACGGTGCAGATTGCAGTACATGTTACATCAGGTAAAGTTAAATATCTAAATACAAAAACATATATAAGAAATAGTCTAAAGGTTTTAACATTCTGTTACCTCTCTTAGCAGCTTCAACACGGAGAGCGGATTGGCCCATTCATAGTCATCCTTCGCTTGTTTGTCTTCAGGTGACAGCGTTGAAGCTGGGTTAATCAACAGACTCAGACATATTTCGACGTACTTAAGAGTGGCTCGTGACTGCGTCAAACAGGTCTCCCAGGTTGGTTTTGGATCCATCCCTGAAGATAAAAAAAAATATCATCATACTGTAAACCACAGTAGAGAAATGAGTAAATATTAAGATAAAAACACAAAATCTTTAGGGTTACTTTAGCTGTCTTAAATAAGAAAGATTAGAGCTTGTTTTTATTACATCTCAGTCACAAAAATTTAGGTCATAACGGTAAACGAAATATAAGAATCGCTTATAGCGTTAAAGCCAACTGTTGCACTATGCGTTTTTTTGGTTATGTGTGTAATTGGGCAATAAGGGAACAGATATTATGCTTACACAAATGGTGAGGAAGGTGAGCTTTAACTGCGTACTGCCACCACAGCTTTGCGTTGCCTTGTAAAGGTACTAAAGGTCGAAATTCTCGTGCTTCTCTAACGCGAGCCACGCGTTCAAGGCCGCGTGCGCACCCAGACATCTCACTGTATTGACGCTACATGAAAAACAAAATCATAATTATTTAAAGCAAACAATTAAGTTTATGAATTACCCAACTGATGTGATAAAATTCAGCTTAATCGGTACTTACAGAACTAAGTCTCAACAGAACAGCATCAAGGGTAAGATGGCAAGCCAGGCGTGGCCGCGACCTGTCTCTCAACGGTTGCTCACAGCGTTCTCTGCGTACGCGTGCATTAGCCCCCACAGGATGGACTATGAACCGGTGAGCCGCTGACCAAGTACTACACATTCGATCCTGTGAAAAATATTTTTATGATAGCGTATACAGTCACACTTTTTAAATACAGTTACTGGTATTCATGAAATATCTTTTATAATATAATACTAATAATGTTTTTTTTTTAGTTATAATTACGAACTGTAAGCTCTGCAAGGGTACAATCTGCCATCATAGCCGCTGGCACAGGCATCGGATCCCAGTAAAGTGCTAAGTTGTTCAGTTCTAACAATTTGAAAGAACAAGGTTCGGAGAGTGGCGTGAATCCACGCTGCCAGTTTGCATCGCAGGACTCTGCACCCAGTGATTCGGCCGCGAACCCGCAAGCAAATGATCTTCCTGGATATGTTAAAGTGTCCTCATAACGGATGTGGACATCGTTGATTTTTAACTGCAATAATAAATTAATTGTATTTTAAAATATTGTTTTTACACTGAAGATACAATTAAAAACTTATCAGATATCAAACAATTGTCCCACCTGAAGATTTTCTACTATGTTAGCCAGCAATCCAGTACCAAAGTTAAGCCATGAGGAATATGATGCAGCATAATAACCTGCGTCGTTGGCTTCATGTTCTGCTCGCCACTGCGCTTCCAGCGCATCCAGGATAGATACTTTACGTTCATGAGCTATCAATGCTTCAACATTACTGTCCCACTAAAAATGAAACTAATTATTCAATCATATACTAATTAAATGTAACACAAAAATAAAAAATGTTTTTATTTCTGGATCTAAGCATTAATGAAAACTATGAACTTATATATTAAAACTAAAAATAATAAAAGGCAGTATTGTTACAATGCCATAAAATTAACAGCACATAATAAACAATTCAAATAATGGGTAACACACAAATAAACTGATGAAATATGAGTAATACTTGGACTGTATCCAAAATAACACAATCGTACACACCTCATCTAAATTTACAGGAGCAACAACAACATAAAGTTTCTCAATAGCTATTAGCCAGGGCACAGATCGAATTTGTGTTACAGGCACCTGCAGCTGAACCTTTCCTATGAAACCTGATTTAATCTCCACAGGTAGACCAAGGTGACGGAGAGCATCTTTTTTCAAGGGGAGGTTTTCCAACTCGACCTTTCCTGAAAATGTTAAAGCTCATTTTTTTACTCTACATTCAAGAAATACAGACATATTTTAATGATGTGAAAGTCTTGAATACCACTGTTAACATACATTTGTAATTTTGAAAATCCTATTTTGTAGTCTTGTGTACTTACCGGAAAGAAGAGCAACACTCAACTGATCTGTATTCAAGTTCTCTACATATTTTCCAAGGTAATTGTTTAGTATCCAAGCTACTAGACCTTCCAACATCGTTCATAGTTGATTTAATATGCCTTTCTCAAGCTGATTTCGCAGCTTATCTTGATATCACTTTAATGCACCTAATAAGAACCTTTGATCTTCAAACATATCATGTACGAAATCTTTAGCGCATCTACAATATTACGTACGAGGGATATTAAGCAAGAAACTGTAAGCTTTAATTATTATTCTAGTTGTTATTGAAACCACTTTTGAAAGATTTTTCAGAAAGAAAAGCGAAACACGAAATATACGCAATTAATTTAAAAAAATAACTGAACCGTAACTTCTTCACTTTTAAATGAGAAATTATGAAATTTTCATATGCAATATCAGGAATTCAAGGAATCCAATTTTAATTTTTAAGTATAAATATTGTAACTCGGTTTAATCTTAGGGATTATAGAGATTAGGTTAGTTTTCTAAATAACATTGACAAATTCACAGCTGAGTGGTTTTTTTTATATCGAGACGAAATCTATACATAATTTTGACAATTTGGACTGTAGTTGTCAGACGTCAGACAAGAAATGATCTAACATTAAAAACAAAAGAGCGCATTATGTGATTTAGATTGTTTACATTTCGTAATTTCCTTTTATAAATTAACATGGTTAAGAGTACAAATAGTTTTTCTTAAGAGATTTATAATAATTCGGTCACAATGAGATCGATTGCGCACTATACATTTTTGTTTAGGACTAATGTACAGTGTCCGAAAGTTTTTAATAATGTCCGAATATATAAGAAAATAAAAGAAAATAAACACTTTAATGTTCGATATTTGGGTTTAGGGCCAACTTCGAAAGATTTTGAGGAACCATCACAGCTTTCTGGTCCCTTGACCAAAGCCCATGCTAGTGAACTTGTTCTTCATTTAAAGGATGAGGAGAGAAAGATATTAATGCATGCTTTAAGGGAATATGAATCTAACAGAATAAAGGAGGAGTTTGAAGGTAAAAAACCTAGCAAAGAGATTATTTATTCACATAGTTTGGTAGTATGGGGTATACTACTTAAGCCTGTGAATAAGTAATATATATGCAGGCATACTATGTTTTAGTACACAAAAATCAGAGTTGTATGATTATTTTTGGATAAACTATTTTTATTAAACTAAATTTAATACTAATTTTAGATAAATTAGCTGGACGGAGATGGAGAAGTAAGCTTGGCAGACCTAGTAAGGTACCAACACTTGGTGATGTTGATCCCACTGGAACATATTGCCCTGTTCCAGAGGATTGGCTCAAAAAGAAATATGGTATGAGATTTACATTTGTATTAATATTTATTTGAATAAGGTTACTCAGTATGATGTCATAACCTCATGCTATAAATATCATGTTCTAAAAATAGGTAATGACAAAGCTAAGTGTTTTGGGATTTTTAACAAGATATTTTCTAACATTTATCATACCTTCCAACAAAAAGCTTATACATTTCTACTATTTCAGCTGCTACAGTACCAAAGCCAACAACAAAGGAACTTTTACACCGTAAGGATTCCTATATTGCGTTTTATATTTAATTACCCAAATGACATCTCATAGCCCCTGTGTGATATGAGAACATAACTAACACTATTCTAGAGATCAAATACATATATTTTTTAACTTTTTTACTCATAAGCGAAAGTTTAAGTAAAATTATTTCCATTTGAAATAATTTTACTTAAAAATATATTTTCCCTTACAGTGTCATTAGCCAACTCAATACCATTTATTGGTTTCGGCTTCTTAGATAATTTCATCATGATAATTGCTGTAAGTATATGTGAAGGTATTTGTATATTTTTTTAGTATTCAGGTTTAGTCTTTTTGGAAACTCCTAGAAAGCATCCTATAAAAACTTAAATTAATCAGATTTCTGTATTATGGGAATGTTTTTTTGTTAGAGTAAACATTTATGTAATTATTTGCAGGGTGACCGAATAGAAAGTAGCATGAGTGCATATATTACATTATCAACAATGGCAGCTGCAGCCCTAGGCAACACATTCAGTGACGTTATTGGGATTGGGTCCTCCTATTATGTAGAAAGAGCAGCTGCCCTCCTGGGACTTGGTGCTCCAGCTCTTTCACCTGTACAGCTAGATATGCCCGTCAGCAGAAGATTCGCAAATGTGGTATGCTATGACAAAATTACATGAGACTTTTCAGCTTTACAAAAATATAAATTGTTAGAAAACATAAAAATGTTGTTACCATATTGTTTAAAGGATATAATGTTGAACTACGGAAATTTCAGGGTCGAGTCCTTGGTATTACTCTAGGGTGTTTCCTTGGTATGACGCCGCTGTTGTTCAAAGACGATGAAAAGAAGGAGGCCTAGCCGCATTGGACCACATACACTCTTGATGACTACTCAGATAATAGTTGACACAAAAGAGATAAAATTTTGACATATTTCAATGTCTTCTAGTTCATACGCTTCGTGATTATTTTGCGATAGCTTTAATTTATAAGACATGGCTATTTCTTGTAAATTATAATTTATAAGCATATCTTTTCTTAAGAATTTACTGTAAAGAGCAGCTTATGTGTACTTATTAACCAAAATTGGTTTAAAATTTAAATTAAATTCTTATTAATATGTAGGTCTGTTTAGGTAAATAACTGTTACTAACATTGATTAACTGTTATTAACTAGATATTTATGAGACTTATTTCTTTTTCATATAAAAACACTCAACACAATGTAGCTTAGAAAATTTTTACACTTACTTGACTACTTGACTCACTGAATTTATATACATATATTGTAAACAAATACAGGTCTAATTATTAAATAGAACATTTAATTTATAACAAATGTTTCACCGTTTTTAGCTTCTTAGCGAGTAACAAGAAATGCATTCAATATTAATATTTTCTATTAATTTTTTACTAAATAACTACTAGTCAGGACCTATACATTGTACTGTTAATTATTGTAAAATAGGTTTAAAATATCAGAAATTATACTTCTTGTCTGCTGTTTTGATATAAACTGCAATGCATAAAACTATAATAAATATTATGTAAATAGTTGATAATGTCTATTTATTTGCATGTTACCAAAACAGAAACTACATCTGCCTTTTGTTATTCACAACAATTTCTCAAACGTTATTAGAGCCCAACCTGTATTATAACAATATTTGGTTCTGGGAATTTAAACTGCTACAGGAAATTTGGTTAAATGAAATAATTGTATTCTTTATACTCATTTATTCATACGTTTCAAGTATCATAAATGAGAAATTGCGATAGTCATTTGAAATATTACATACATGCAACTGTGATCAATACGGGCCTCTACCTCTAAAGCTCGAGGTACAAATCAATAATGAATTGCCTTTTTATGTAGGATCATTATTATGTTCATATAAGCAGGCCCCAAAGGTGTAATTTTTTTACATGTCATATGAGAAAAGGTTGCTTGAAATGTAAAATTACAGCTATATAGCAACTAATGTTTGACTAAGGGGTTGATAATGTTTCAAAATTAGTATATTATGCCCTTTGTTACATGCTACGGAATAGTGTTGTTTATTAATAAACCTTACTGGACTAACTGAGATTGATTATTGCTAATCCTAATGTTCAACTTTTTATACTTTAATATTATCTTATTAGAGTTATTGGGGATTTCTTACATTTTTCAAAACTCCCACAAACCTCTAATCTTTGTAGATCCATAAATATAAACGAGTTTTGTTACAATATTCGAGATATTTTGAGCAGAAAACATGAATAAGTTTACTTCTGAACAATTTAAAATCTACATTAAGTAGGTTGTTCCAGTGTAAATGTTGAAGATAATTTAAACTGATATCAATACTTGAATAGATGTTGAAGCAAAAGCTCTCTCATAAAGTCTTCATATTGTTAATGTTAGTTCTATCACATTTATGTTGCTTCTTAAAGCAACGGTATTATAATGTACATAATTGACTATATGGTACTTTTGAGTTCTCACTGACAGTACCTTATATTTAAGCGACATTATTATTTTGAAGGATGCAAACCAAATTTTGAAGAAATATTATTGCACAGGATTTCTAGAAATATTATTACATTATAATATAGGATAAATCATTAGTTTTAAGATACCTTGAATCGTTCAGCGATAAGTTGAGGCACCCTCGACGCCTGATAATACCATCTATGTACTTGTGATAACGAAATGTCCAAAACACTTCTCAATAACAATGGTAGTACAGCTCGAGTACCCCACCCATAGCTTGGCAATATGGCCGCAAAAGCTTAACAATTTATATACTATCTAAATATAACTTACAACGCGGCATAATACAAGCTGTTGATCAATTCTTAAAGAGCACATTAGAACCAAAAGGAATTAAAACATTTACAATACAATGTAGACTAAGGAAATAAATGCGTAACAGGGTTCAGTTGAATTTCAGCGTAAATAATAAATCTACTTACTTTACTATATTTGACTTTGTGGAATAATAATACATATTATGTCTACTATAAACACGACACATGTTACACGATAAAATACTAATTACAATTGCACGATAGCAACTTACAAAATGACATTTTTTAACTTTATAGACATAAAATAATCAATGTCTACATACAATAAATAAATAGGCTTATCGGTCTCGGTCTATAAACGATAGGCGAAATGTCATTTGTCTGGTGTCTTTCGTGTGCTGTCTTTTCTATGTTCATAATATTTGACCGGTTTAAAATTTTCAACCGGTGTCTTATAACAGATGACTATATTACAGTCTATATAATTAAGTAACATCTAAGTTGTTTACTAATCGTGGGCAAATTATTAGAACGGCACAACTACTATTGCTTTGTTTTCGATAAGTCTCAAAGTCAAAAAGTAATAATGAACGAGGAACTTAATTTTTGACTATTTTTCCAATTTCGAAAAGTAGTAAACATACATTGACGCCGTATAAAAATACAAAAAATAACAAAATGTGTAATTGTACAAAATTTGCCTATTCAATATTATCAAAAGTAATCACGACTCGCGACGGACCCATATCACGTCCCTTAATCCTAAATTATTATTATTTTTAATATTCAAATATATACAAAGTTTGTTTTTAAAGTTCTCTGAACTTAAATTTTGAGATCAAATTTGTGCTTGAGTTAGCATTATGTAGAAACATACAACAAAATCACATTGCAGGAGTATAAATTAATATTGTTATTTCTAAATATAAGCTAAAGTACGAATCCGTAAAAAACGACAGTAGACATAAATACACAATTATTTATAGCTGTTTTTGTGAGAAACAATTGTTTTATATTAAGAGCTAATTGAATTTGAGGCCTCGACAAGTATATTAAGTAATAGCGTTGTAATAATTAAATAATTCAATGGAAGAAGTATGTGCTTCAGAAACTATAGCCCTTACATTAGACGTCCACTGGTTAGATTAAACTAAAAGATAAAAAGTACCTATAAGGCGGCGTCGCTGTGTTCGGTGCGGTCATCGGCGTAGAACAGTGCGGGCGTAGTAGTGGCATTCCGTTCCAGTGAGTCGAATAGGCGACGTGCGGCGAGAACGCTGAGGCGTCCCCATTGCGCGTGAGCACTACCCGTATAGACGCCCTCCTCGAATCCACTGCGCACGCCGAGGATGATACTCAGCGCAGAGGCATCCTGTCCGTGACATCCTGAATAACGGTACTGAGGCTTCTTGTCGAAGCGACATCCCTCCGACTGAGCGCCTGTATTAAAGGATATAGTTCCATGTTAATCGAACTACATTTTAATAATAATTTCAAATTATTAAAGTAAATTATTAACTAACCTACTGGCATTATACAGTCACCGGTCAGAGCGCACTGTACCCACGGACGCATAATCTCTGTTAGTTGGTCGCGTGCGGCTAAGACGAGTCTGGATGCATCTAGCATCTGAACAAACAAGAAGTCATCAATATTGGCATGGAAGTAGGTAAACATGTGAGGGTGTGTCAGTGAAGTAACCGCAGCTCGACGCGGCCACGCCACCACACCCAGGCGGCTGTTTGACGCGCGCGCCCACTCGGCGTCTAGTCCGGCTGCACTGCCGCGCCACCACGTCCGAGGTTCGCAATATATCAATCCACCGACACGGCTCAACGCATGCTGAAACGGATTGACACATTTTGTTAATCTACAAGTTTACTGGGTACTTCTTACAACCTTTTTATCAGATACTATCAGTTCACCACTGACCATTGAAAACATTTATTTTATAACTTAAATACCATTTTATGAGCATTCTCAGTGTTCACTTACAAAAATGTAGTCAAATGTGGTGATGTTGCGAAATTATAAAAAAAGTCCCTGGCCAATAAATATAGCAATGTCGCTTTTGGAAGTAAGTAATTGTAGTTTCATATACAATAGTTTCAAGTGATCATAGTATTAGTACATGTCTATTCTTAATAATACCTCTAGTATTATTAAGAATTCATGGGAACAATTTTGTCATACATGATACTTCTTTCCTTTTTTTCTATAAGATATTAGGCACACAGTCAATTCCCAACAGAAGGTTAATTGCATCATTTTGAGTAAAAAGTCTTACCTGAATTATAAGCGGTCGGAAAGCAGTGATACTCTGATCCAGAACGTGTGATGGATACATGCTGAGATCAAAATCAATGACAGCACATTTGGATGAATTGCAGTAATTTGACACCTTTATTTTAAAAGTAATTGTTAGACTTTTTTATATATCTATAGATTCTTAAGATTTTGATGATAATAATTACATAATTTAATATACTGTTAGTACTTATTTTTTAAATAATTGTAATAAAACTGAGACCCTACCATTAGACACAGGGAGGAAATTATAAGTATATAGGTATAGATCATACCAAATGTCGGATTTCTATATTGTGAGATTCAAAGATGCATATGTAGAAGTTTATTCTAATGGAAATCAAAATTTATTTACTTACCACATTATATGAGTAGGGCTTAAGGCCAATGTTATAGACAAGTATAGTATATGGTAGCTTCTGAGCTGCACGTATAAAAGCTACAACAAGGGCATGTTCATCATTACGTGCATGTGTTACAAGAACAGGGACGGTTGTGTTCTTCCATAGATCAACATGACCAACAAGCCCCACCAGACCCAAATACCTCTCTTCTTGCACAAGGTGACGCTCCTCCACATCTCGCAATTGCTCCTAAAAGGGTTAGGTTAAATTTCATTATTTAGTAAGCTTTGACTAGTGTCAAAAAAAGCTAGACAGTAGAAAAAGTTGTGTAATAAATATTTACCTGAAAGTCCTTTATATGTTGATGGGTTTGAGAAACTATATTTTGAAATGATTGTGGTGGCTGTGAATGGAATACTATCAAAAAAATACTAATGGCAAAAATAGTTGTAGAAAACAATAAGAAACTTTTAGTTTTCATTTTTACCACATTATTCTTTCATATCTCACATTCTAAAATTTATAATGGTCAGAGGAACTGAATTGCTTTGCGTGGGCATTTATAAACAATAATGCTGAATTACTGTATAAGCCCGATCTTTATAAATCAATAAAACTGACAGAACCACACATCGTTATAATGTGTATTAGGAAAAGGATAAATATTTGAATTATAGTTTTGTGTGCATTTTTCCATTTAAAAATTTTCGAACATAGAGTCTTCGATCTTGTGATTATTAACTTTAAAATGGAACATTTCATAAAGTAATATTCTTTTCGGTTACAATTTAGCAACAACCACATCAACCTGTGGTAGTTAAGCCCACAGATGACAGATACCAGTGGCGATTGGCTTTTTTTGCTTTTAAACCATATGCATCTGTAGCTATATGTAATCTATAACCTTAACCTAGAGTACGTGTTTTAAGTATTTTTTTCAACTGGTAACGCATATTTGTGTAACAGTTTATAACCTATATTACGTTCTTAAAATAATATAATCTGTAGTATTACGTCATATTATAGTATTTACGTTTTGACTGGATTTGACTTTCAAATCTCGGATTGAGGATTCTCGACTTTAACCAAATAAATAAAGAGGTGGTGAACGGTAATCAGTCCTACCTGTATGTGTTTTACTGAAACACCTAATCATGTCTAGCATTTCAAAAAGAAAGAAGGAGTTCACCAAAACTAAAATGAAGGTAAACAAACATTAACAACGGCAAGTGAAACTACTACGTTTAAACTTTTATTATGGTGTATGGCGTGGCGTTCTAAATTTTACAAAAATATACATAATTAATATTATAGTATAAATAATGTTGATTATTTACTGTAAAAGCAATATATTAAATGCACGAGTGGTATGCTAACCAAATAAGAATCATGACAATGTCATTACTATTTGGTCAGGTGGTAGTGGGTAAGAAAAGTTAAGTTGAAGGTTAACATGATAGTAATGTTTGTTACCCTCTATATTAATATATGCTGTTTCTTGTCCTCTTAGGGTATGGGGAATCACCAAGAGTTCTTGAAAAGGATATCAAAAACATTATACTATGGACAGCTTCCCACTTTGCCCTGTTTGAGCCTGCCAGTTACTGGTTAGCGTGGTTTCTTTTTCTTTTAAATACACTAAACAATAAGATGTTTCAAATGCAAGTAACATTTTCTAGATATTAAAAAAATTTCAGAGATATCATGTGAGGTTTGGTCAATGGCACAACGTGGAAGATCTATACAACGGTTGCATACTGACCAGGCTGCTACCATAGCACGCTCAGCTTGTGTTTCTCCATGTGCTCTTGTCTTGGCAATTCTTTATCTTGAACGACTTAAACGCTGTAATCCAGATTATCTAACTACTACACCTCCGGTTGACCTTTTCCTGGTTTCATTGGTAAATAGACAAAATTAATGTTATCAAAGCAAAAGTAAATAATAATATAATTGATTTAAATCCAGCACATAGATCACTTATCTTAGATTAACAAAGGTAAAATTAATATTATATACATTAATGTTAACAAATTTATATCACACAAAATAATGAAAGTGTGTTTTTACATCGGAAATTTTAACAATAGAAAGTTGAAACATTTAACATATACATTAGGAGGTAGATTACTATTTTATAAAGTTGAGTCACAATATTTGATTGTAATTATGCAGATGATAAGCAACAAATTTCTTCAAGATGATGGTGAAGATGATGAAGTGATAGGATCAGAATGGGCTGCCTCAGGTGGGCTTGAGTTACCCCAGTTAAACAAGCTAGAGGCTGATTTCTTAAATGCTATTGTAAGTTGCATCACTTGTTTTCATGCTATAACAGTAGGTCCCCAATAACATTTTTTTGTTATAAATTACATTTTATTTTCAGGAATGGAATATATTTGTAAGTGAAAAAACATTTGAAGCTGGGCTTTCATGGCTAGAAAGACAAGTAGCTATTAAACAGGCTCAAATGAGAGGCTTTTTTACATATTCTGACCTCATAATATCATATGACCCTACATTGCTCAAAGAACTCTTAAAATCTGTATCTAGTGCCTGTTTTGCTCTAACATTTGGTTATGTGACAAGCTTTATAACATTGGTTACCTCTACTCTAGTAATGTCAAGTGTGTGGGTTCCCGCTTTGGAATATATCATGATGAGGGGATGCCACTCCACAGTTATTCATACACATGCAATGTCAACTTCAAAGGATTTGCAACAAGAACAGGCCAACACAAGTTTATACAATTCTGCAGACCTTACTTTGGAGTTCTCTGTTAATTTAGAGAATATTAAATGTTGTGAAAATTGGCAGAGATATCAAGATCACTCTGAAAACAGTCACAGAGCCAAAAAATCATGGTACAATGGTGTTATAGAGAATGACTTAAAATTATTTCAGACATGGTGGTCTAAAACATCAGTTTTAAATTGGCTTTATCAAAGCTCTTTAATAAATCCTATGCAGAGGTGGCTAGATAAAGTCAAGGAATATGTGGATTTCACCAGTGGACAATTGAAAAACCAGATATCTAATGGTCAATGTCATAGAGACAGAAGAGCACATTGTCTGCAACAAAAGGTCAATATAAGTAAATTGACTGTATTTGCCGTGTCTATGTCAGACCAGTAAATATGGATGGTTGATAAATGTGCTGATTTCAGATTGTGTCATAAGAATAGACATCTTCCTTTTAATTGGCATACCTTCAGCAAATAGAATTCTTTTTTTATATAATTGATGCTTTTCTTTTATACAGAAATATGAATAAAAAATATATTTTAATAATGTGTATATTATTACAAAGTATAACATAATTGTTTAGATTGGCTTTCAAGTAATCAATGACGATCAGTATAAAAAATGCCTTAATACAGAAGATATTCCATATTTTATAAATATACAGTACATTTTATTACTAGATTAAAAAATAATGTTAATACATTTTTCATGGACATGTGAGAGGTTATCTTTGTATTAAACTTATTAATAGATATAATACTATATCACAATGTATTTTTAAAGAATAATTAACCTAGTTAAAATGCGGACTTAAGTTAATGGCTTGTTACTATTATTATTATATACATCTGTCCTTGGTTCTCTGCTTCATCAGGTCACTACAATCGTAATGCTCAATTGATACAACGTTTATTATAAAATAAAGACTATAAAAGGTCATATTAAAATAAAATATAGTGAGTCATTCTTCGTACAGGCCGGGATGGAGATATAGTCGTTTATTAAAGCCCCATTTGTCAACTGAGGAAGTTTGAATATGAAAGCGATCGTGGAGGTGTTTGTCGACCAGGGTAAAGAGTTTGTCCACGTGACAGTCATGGGCGCGCGCCGCAAACACTTCGCACAATGTCTGAATGTACCACGAGCCATCCTTTGGATCGCGATATGACACCTTCCCTAAAGAATACAAAGTCAAACTACACTTTTTGTAGAAAATGAAAGCACCGTATATTATCCTCTTCTCGTATTAAAGCAATGTGGATAAATAAACTGCATGTACCTGGTAGCGTAGAATGTGCAATGAGTATATCGGAAAAGAGTCTGTCTCTTTTGAGAATTGGAGTCTTTGGTGCGTTATCGATGTAACGGCGGCAGTCGAGGCCAGACAGGTCCGATTGCGAGACCACAGGCAGACCATCTGGCTCAGCCTGTTGACTCGGCTCGTCTGGTGACACAAACCGGATTGGACTGTCTATAAACTCCATGTTAGATCCCCTGAAATGCAGGAAATTCAAATGAAATCAAAAATCATCTATTCATGTATTATAGGTAGTATAGGTACACTTAGAATTGTCAATGCAGTTATAATACATTAAAAAGTCTAAATCTATATTTAATACTTGATCTACATGGAGCGGAGAAACTACACTGAATACCACAGACATCAGTGGCTCACTTAAAATAGTCTCTAATTTCAGTAAATAAGTGTACAATAAAACTCACCTGCAAAGTTGGAAAATAAAAACTTTGGGCACTCCGTGCAATGCAGGAAATTTTTTATTGCTGAAGTACTCAATAATCTCATAGATGGAGATAAGGCGCAGGTCTTTGCAACGAATGTCTGTGTCTGAACTATCTATTCTTTCGTAACCATGAGATGACACCACTATGAAAACACACTCGACTCCAAAAATAACATTTTTGAGGTTCTCTAGAGTTTTAACAGTTTCCTGTGAATTCCAATTTAAACATTGATCTTTCAATTACACTCTTAACATATTATAAAAAGACAAAAGCCATTCAAACTGTAAAATTTAAATTTCTATGTTTTGAGGGAATGTAAAAAGTAAGCCGTAAAAATAAACAAAACTTCTAAATTTTGCTATTACAAATCCTTCTGAATTGGTTAATTTTTAAATTAATAAAATACTCACATCTCTAGTAAGGTCCTTATATGAGATGACTCTGAACCCCATTTCACTGAACAAATACTTAAGTTTTTGACAGTCTACATCAACCCCTTTGCGGTAGGTCTCACTATTGTTAAGAAATTCAATATAGCTAAATACAACTATGATGCCGCGTTCTCTACCTCGTGTCTTGTACAGCTTTATATCTGAATTTCAAAAAATATAATAATATATATGTAGAACAATGTAAAATATAGTATAATTATTAGACCCTTAATAGTTTCACAGATAAGTAAAAGATTAACTTAATTTCTAAATTACTAAGGAGGCTGAAAAATAAAGCATCCATATCAATCGGTATAAAGAAATGCAGGCAATATTAAACATAAAGCCCTTACCATCTCCATCTTCAAAAAATTTGCTTGATTTTACTACATGATAATGAGGTACTGAATTGAGATCTGTTGTGTCTGAATCATTAGCATCCCAATCATCTAAAAAATGTAAATGTGTTGTGTTAAAAACATTTCTCAATTTCATTAAAAATCAAAACAAATTGCAAGCACATCTTTATTATTAAGGAGAAATTACCAACTTTTAACAATATCAACTCTAGTTTTTGCCTTTTCTTTCTCAGTTTTTATGCTGACATATTGGTTTTCGTTGTGCATACCTGAAATAAATTTTAATATCCTTAGAAATTTACAGGTAAAGATAAAGTATTTGTATAAAACAACTGAATTACTTGTGCTGGGAGCGGATATTTTTGTTCGTGCATGTAAGGAGCTGTTGGGATCAAGCTCTCGTACTAAGTCCCAATAGCCTGCATCTGAGAGTGCATCAAGTAAGTTTCTAAATGCATCAGGTCCTCGTCGCGTTATATCCATGTATAACTGCCGTTTGCGGGAGCGTGCATCCTTTGAAAGATCCTACGAAGCATATTAATAGTGCATTATAACACGATAAATGAAGTGTTGAAGAATGCTTCAACAGTTAGGCTGGTTCAATAATAACAATATAAACTTACTTTGTAAGGTTCAATCATTTGTTCCGAAAATACTCCTTTCTCAAACAAAGCGGATACCATATGATCCAAATCAGTTTGCTCTACAAGAGAAGCAAAATTATTTTGAATGGCTTTTCTATGTTCGTCCTGCATTTTGCCAAGATTAGGGGATATTTGAATGTTTGAAACTATTTCTTGTCTCAAAAGCCAGAACTTTTTGTCACTGAATATCTGGTATATTTATATTTTAAAGCAGTCATGACAAAAAATATTATATTGTAGAGAATAAATTTTTAATAGAGATTCTTGCTTTTTGAACTAGCCTTTCTAGAAAACAGAAAAAATACATTTTAACACATTGAACACAAACGTTATCATTCTCAGTCGTTTTGTCACATATTTTGATGATGAATAACAACGTTACAGATAACTAATAAAATGTAGGGATTCGGACGCCCTACTCTGTACAGATGAAGTGAGCCAATCTACTCTGTAAAACGTTAAAATAATAATTATTAATTATAGTTTTACAATCCATAGACTATGGCACTCACTACTAAATCAAAGAAAACTTGTTCAGTGATTATTTATTCACATTGACATTATTTTTATTTCATTAAATAAATAATAGGCAACACTCAAGCAAGTTTACTAAACGCCCCATTTAACCACTTTGCTTTTGGAAATACGGTACTGTTGACCAGCTCTTTAGCAATGGGTCATAATAAAGTCTTATTTTTCACATTTATTTTGCTAATAGCATGTATTTCAGGATACGAGCTTTCTGACGTGAAATCAGCACGAATCGAGGTACGGAAATTTAAAGATAAAAAAAAATAATAATAATAGACGGATTCATAACTTCATATAGTTCTGTTTTCATTTAGTAACATATTTCGAATTGATTTCAGACATGTCGGGGTTGTTCCTTAAATCGTTTACCAGAAGTAAAGAACTTTGTGATGCAAGATGCTCCACTATATGAAAACTTGGAAGTAAAGTTTATAAGTGGGGCGCCTCCAGAACTAGTCCTTTTAGGTGATGGTGATGTAGAGTTGGAAAGACTTCCACTTTCCAGTCTTAAACGTCAAGATTGCAATGAATTATTAAAGAGTAAAGGTTTTGAAATGAAATCTAAAAAAGAGGAATTTTAAAATACGTATTTAGAAAATTTACATTACATTCCCTATTCTAGGTTCCAACCAGATTTTGTATATAATAAATGTAATCAAAACTTTCGCTTGGATTTTCATACTATTTGGCATTCCTGTTCTTTCATCATCATTTTCATGGGAATGGGTAGGTATGTCAAGGATCTCCTTAACTTTGAATCAAGATTAATTACTAATTTGAATGTAATTACCCATGACTGTGGAAATAGGTTGCGTTTTAACTTTTATTAGAGTTATTGTAATAGCATTTTGCATCCATTAATCATTTTATTCATAAATCACCTAATGAAAGGAAGTAAAACAGCATTTGCTCAATGCTGAGCATGAGGCAATAATATTTGTTTTTATTCACTAATTTAATTATTAAGAAGAAAATAGTACAAATAAAACATGTTTAAGGTAATATTTTTAGAATATATTAAGAGGGCAGGGTTCAAGTCAATAGCGTGCAGTCGAGCTCTTCTTCCCTTCCTTCCGTAACACTGCGCCGAAGAACTCGCGCCACGACATCCGCTAATGCCTCTCGACCACCCTCTTCAAGTAATGACATACATTGCTGCAAAATAAGATGCAATAAATTATTGTAATATATAATTTTAGACGCTTAGAAGAAGAAATAGTTGAAAAAGTGAGAAGCAACCATATTACGTATATAAATTAAAAGTTTACATAGACACCTTTTTAAACAACTAGCTATTTCTAATATGGCACAAAAGAAGGGAAAGAAATAGGTACATAATACATTATTTACTGTTGAAATTGTAATGAATGCATCATAATTTTAGATCCAGCTTTGGTGCCAGGGGGTCACATAGTCAAGAAATTTTAATTTAACTTGGATAACAATAGATACAAGTAAAATGTCGCTATTTATTAATGTACATAGACATACTCAAAATATTTATTCTTAATTGTACGCTTAAAGTATTGAACACATTAATTTGTAAATAAAATCAGTATGTTAAATTTTAGTGGTCCACCTACTTGGCCTAGTCATATCAGTTTATTTACTGACCTGATAGTGCTGTTCATCGTGTGGTAGCCGCAACACAGCCCTGAGCGCCAGCTCAGAATTTGCTCGGACGTAGGTGTTCTTCTCCTTGGTACCGTTCACGAGGGCAGGCAAAAGTGCTCGCAGTAAGTCTACCCCCACCCCGCTTGGCACCAGCCCATCGCGTGCCAGCACTACGCTAGCTCGAGCCATAAGCTGCTTGACATCGTTGCTGCTGTGGTTCATGCTCTGTATAAAAAGTTATTTTTATAATTATTTAACAGCATTCGTTATTACGTTTTATGTACACTTCTTTAAGTTTTTCATGACATAAAGACTCAATTTGTTGTTAAACCCGAAGAAGAGATAAAGTATAATTTCTTTTGTATTTTCGCTTCTATATCGCCTACGCATAGTGTTTGATAATACTTCTATTATATGTGCAGTCCAATTAAGGCCACTAGAGGCAAAAAAGCCTAACTGCAATGTCATTTTTATTTTTCTCATTGAAAATCATTTTTTTTTGTTATTAGGCCACTCTGCTCAATTAAGAATATTGCTTAACTATACTAGTTTTGTTAATAAACTCACCCTGACAAACTGAGAAATGATATTCTGCGGAAGAGTTCGGCTCTGCTGTATCAAATACCTCAAAAGGTAACCCATTCCGCGGATACCATTACAAGCTATGGGAGTCTTATCACTGGCCAGATAGCCGAGAAGCGCCTTCTCCACCTTGTCTTCGAATTGATCACGGTATACATGCTCCGGGGTCTCCTTCAGGGCTACGAAAAGCGCGCAAGATCTACCATGTTGTAGGAGCCAGTCATCACTGAGAGCGGATGGTGTATTGCCACCTAGAATGTGATGAAGTAGGGCTGCGTCGCGATGAGCAGCGGGAAGGCAGTGAAGTAACGCTCCTAGGCATCCTCCGACCGCCGCTCGCGGTGGATCATCGGGATGAGCCAACAGGGCCGGACTCGTTAAGGTCGACAGAACAGCCAGAGCATGTTGCTCTGACATCTTGTCTCCGCCTCCGGTTATGATGCTCCGAAGAGCTTGCAGCATGGTCTCTCTTATAGCGGGGTCGTCTGTGTTCTTAATGCCGTTGTGCAATTCGACGAAAAGGGGATCGGCGCGCGAGTGGATCAGCACGAGTTGCGAGAGGGCCACGCCGGCTTTGATGCGCACGTTTCGATTCGGGTCACTGAGAGACTTCAAGAACGTGGTTTGCAACTGTGGCAAGAATTGCTTCAACATAACTCCCACCTGTTTGTAGAAATCGTGGTTATATTAAGATTGTATAAAATAATAGAGAACAGATCCCGTGATTAAAAATCAAATCTTAGATTTTAAATGTAATTTGTGTGTAGCTTTATTTTGTGTGCAAATGTATTGAAGTCTCTTCAATATTTACCTTAGAAAGTAGTAAGCCGAGTGTCTCTAGAACAGCGGCTTTAACACTAGCGTTGAACCGATCTCCGAGGATTCTGATAAGCGGCCCTGTAATATGTACCACGGAGGAGTGAAGCGCAGGTGCCGACGTTAGCCGAATCACCTCACCGAGCATCAATGCTGCATTCTCTTTGTCTTCTGGGAGACCATTTAAGATGGCCTCACGAAACAGGGGCAGTACTGGGGCTATACCCTAAGCACAATAAAGTTATAAGATTTAAAAAGGCGATTGTTAAAAAAATAAAATTGTCTAAGATCTACGGTCTTCCGGACATTACCTTTGGCAAGCAGAATCCCGGTAGCAAGTCTCCTTTAACATCAGCCGCAGCGAAGCGCACGGCCTGCCGCACATCTGACACGTGTGAGAGAAGCCGTTCTGCGTCAAGTGTGCGAGTTAAGGCGGTCAACGCCTCCCACGCCATCTGTGTTTAAGTCATTTTTAATATTGAAAGAAAATGTGGGAAAACACCTACTTAGTTGTGTATAACATAACAATAATTCTTAGAAGAAGAAAAAAGTATTGAAAACATCAGGTCGGAGTTAAAATAAGTAGAAAGTGTTTTTCTGTGTAGTTTTTGCGTAAACTTCAGACGATACCGGCACTTAGAAACATAGTAATAGTGTGGCACACCTGCAACATTTCTCGATCTTGATCGGCGAACAGCAGCAGCAGGCCGCGAAGCAGCGCGCCTACGTGTTGCGATAGGTCAGCGCGAGTGTGCGTCACGAACGCGCACAGCAACGCTGAGCCCGCTCGCCGCTTCTCGCCCTCGTCTGTGCGCACGCACTCCAGTAGCGTGTCGATTATACTGTAATTAGACATTAAAAGAGATTGGTGTAAAAATCAATGTTAAAATAACATAGTTAATTGTGAGCAGTATTTGCTTGACAGTATTTTTAGCTTGTAACTCTTTTATAGAATAGAAAACAACAGAATCTAACAAACAATATCAGAAAGTAAAAACAAATTTTATTTATATAATCTCTCTGAATATGAAGCCACCTCCACTAGCTACGTTGGCAATTATGTCCCAACAACAAGTAGTAACACAAAAGTACGTCGAAAATATGTTTAAATCAGTAAATAAAAAAAAAACATGATTTAATGATGTTATTCTTATCCTCCTTGAAAGAGGTACTAACCATCTCACGCCAGCTTCATCCGTAACCGGGAGTAGTGCGTCGCGGCAGTGGTCGAGCTCTTTCGCTTCGTGAGGGGTTCCACGAGCGGCGCGAAGTGACGCGAGCAGCGCAGGCAGTATTCTTGGCAGGTGCCTGGCGAGGGCGTTGCCAGCGGCCGCTGCGAGTGCCGAGAGAGCGCGCGTATCCGCCTTGCCCCCGCTCCCGCCCGTCAGCACCGGCACTAGGTACGGCAAAACTGCGCGAGACTTAATTGCCATAATCTGTGGATTATAATGTGTTATTAATCATTGATATAAAGTTTAATTAATAAACACATGTTAGTTGCTTATAATATAATTCTTGTTCACGTTGACACACATTTGTCTCCACAATGACATAACAACTTATTGGCCTATTTGTTTGAATCTACCCTGTGTTAAGATTGAAACAAATATTTAATACGTCAGACGTGTGTTAAGAACCGATCAGTGTGCAATTTATCGTCATATATATTTCATTGTAAGACCTATTTTACAGATAATAATAGTTATAGTAGATTGTCCTCGATATCAATATCTTTTTTTAGTTTTGGAAGAATAGCGTTATATTGTATTGTGCGTTTTTTTTTCGTATTCACATGACAACCTATTGGCAGTTTTATGAGTTTTTTTTAATGACATAGTCTTTTAGCTTATTACTACAAGATACCAGTAAACAACTGTTATTTTAAAGTTAGAACTTTCTTAGAGTATATTGGATTCAAGTGACAGTTTTTTTTTAAATTCAATCATCAACTGATTGCATACCTGTCTCAGACCGTCAAGAGTAGCATCTGCGACGGCGTGGTCGGGGTGTTGAAGCGCCTCTAGCATTGGGGGCAAGATGTCATCGAGCGCTTTATTTCCGATCGTCGCATGCAGACTGTCGAACGTGCGCGCCGCAGCCATGCGCACTTCCGGCAGCTCATCGCAGAGGGCCGTGCGAACTGTTGGTACCTGTTGGATAAGTTAGCGTGTTCAGACAAGTAGAAAGAGATCGCTAAAAAGTCGCCGCCTCCAAAATTCTGGGGTAAAAGAATTAGTGCACTCACCAATCCATCTGCAAAACTGAGCACAGCGTCTCTTGAAGTGGATGCGAGTATTTCCCCTAACCCGATGCAGACACCCTGCCGCTGATCCGCGCGGTCCGAACGCAGCCCTCGCTCCAGAATGGGAACGATCTCCGGCAGCACCCGTTCTCCCAACTAGCAGCAAAAAACATTTTAATTAACAATTCATACGACGCATTACAGCTGTGTAAATTTTAAACTTGACGATTTTTTTGCTTTTCAAGGTCTCTTACGTTCAATTATTGAAAAAAAAACACTTGTAACTACATTTATACAAATAAAATATAATGGTGTCAATCTAGATATCTTCTTACATTGACATTGATAATATTCGGCATAATTTATTAACAGTTAACGCGCGTATGTATAACAACTGTTAATACATTATACAGGATAATATTGTATTATAGATTTTATATATTACTAGCTGTGACTTGGGGTAGAAAATATTTTAATAATTTAGGCTGTTTATTAATTTATGTAATTGCGCGTTTATCACAGCCAATCTATGTTGTAAGTGCTACTTTGCCGCAACACTCTCGCCTCACATCACTCCTACTCCCAATCCCACTCCTTTTCTCAAAAAGCCAAAGAAGTAAGTTTCAATGTTCTATCTTGAAACACCACGAATTTCCATACAAACTTTAACCCCCCACCCCCTTTTCGCAATAAAAAGTAGCCTATGTTCTTTCACAGGGTCTAGACCATATGTGTACCAAATTTCATTCACATCCGTTCAGTAGTTTTGGCGTGAAAGAGTAACAGACAGACAGACAGAGTTACTTTCGCATTTATAATATTAGTAAGGATAATAATGTTAATAGTGTCTGAAAAAAGATTCTTTCAATGAAATGGATTTATTACGTAGAAATGATATCCAGTCCAGGAATAATTGTTTTAGTAACGGTCAAAAATATCAAATATAAGAGGAAACAAATATTGGTCCATATTTTTGCCCCACACGAAGTCCAGGTGATTCGCCTTCTCCGGCTTCAGCTCTGTGTACTGGATGACATTCGGCAAGGCTCTTTCGAGTGTCGCGACGTCCGCTAAAGTTGATATCTTATCATTGCGTCCACACACAAGGGCGACGTCCATAACCACCCGACCTAAGTCGTAAGCAGGTGGTTCTGACTGCCCGTAAAACTTTAAGTTCTTGAGTGCTCCGTAGTCGTATTGAGCGAACTGTTTTCGCAAGCTCACCTGATCGAAGTGATCGAGAGACTTAAGCGAAACATTTTCAGGATAGTACTTGAACGCTTCGTAATGGATCGAAGATGTATATTCCTCCTCGTCCGATCCAGCCACAGGAAACACTAACCCATAAGCGCAAACAACGTAACCATATATTGGATTCAGACAAATCGATTTCAGTAGTTTTCCACTCGGGGAATCGCCGACGATATAATGTTGCTGCAAGAGTCTATTCGCTTCGATCAGCTCCGGTGCGATTTTGACGAGGATCGACAGAGGTGGGCTGACGTTGCTGAGATATGCGATAGGCGCTAGGGCGACCAGAACGTTTACTTTTTTGTTGTATTCAGGTCGAAGTGCGGCCATCACGAAGAATATAGTAGTCCCTTGCGAGTGACCGACGGCGTTCACTTTTTGCGCCCCGGTGTGATTTAAAATGTAGTCGATCATGGCAGGCAAATCGTAATAACCGAGCTCATGAAAGCTGAAGTTCCAAAAATCCTTGGGATTATTTTCACGAGTTATATTGACATGGTCTTTGGAGTAGAAATTTCCTCGACAGTTGCCCAACCATACGTCATGACCGCGGTTGGCGAGGGCGACAGCTAAAGAATCGTTTTCCCGCAGCAGCCAAGTGTCACTGGAATCGAGAATCCCGTGCATCAATAATGTCGGTGGACTATTATCACCGGGTATCCGAAACATGGTAAGAATATATCCATCGGCAGTTGTAACGCGATGCTCTTCGACTTCATAACCGGCTTTGGCAGCCAAATTCACTGTACCCACTCTTACATCGCTTACAGACGGTATCTTAAGCGTGTCAATGGTGTAACATTGAAGAATGATAACAATCAATTTTGCCGCGAAGTAAGGAAATTGCTTTCTCATTTTAGTGTCTTATGAACTCGCAAAGAACACCTTGCCTTTATATATAAAGAACACATTAATAAAATATTTAATTACACAGCAATTAATTAAACTGGCGCAGGTGATTAAACATGTTACTTTTAGAGTACCGCATCGAGAGGAAAGGTGTACATACTTTGTATTTTCAATTGTTGAGTCTTAGATGGTTTTCCATATTAATTTTATCTTATTGAACGTATCTTATATTTACAAATTGTATCAATGCTTGAGAAAACGGTTTCTGATATGTTGTCATTACATATACATGTTAGTTTGGAAATAAAAAATACTTAAAATAATCGTACCTTTCTAACGAGGTCTCCGAGTGTCCTCGCTGCGACTTGACGTTTATCGTAACTGGTGGAGGCGAGACAGCCCAGCAGCAAACTAAATAACGTAGGTAAAATTTCACGCAGCGTTTTTGGCGTGTTTGTTACGACCACCTGGTTAGAAGAAATTTGAAATTAATAATGATGAACTATTCTAACCGCAATTATGAAGAAAATCCACAGATCGATATCTACGGAATCAAGCAACTTATTTCAAAATGTTTGCTCTTCTTAAGCAAACAACTGACAAATATCTGTAAAAATGTACGTCAAATATAGCAAATAGTGCTTTATTAACTTGAATGCTAGCAAAACTAATTAAAAAAATTCCTCCTTCGCATTGCTGCGTGAATTGATATTATATATTTATTTTTTATTATTATATTTTTTGTCGAGAGCGGAAGTACGCGTGTGTGTCATAAAAAGTCGTAACACTTACCTTCCAAACATGCAGCGCAGCCTGCCGTACCATGAGCGCGACGTCGCTCCTTCCCATGTATAGACCGGCGAGCACCCGATTCCGCCGGTCGGGGCCCAGCGCGTTGATGATCGCCTTGTGCGAGTGCTCCGTACCGAAGTTGTCGTCCTCGCTCGCCGTCTCCGTGCTCATCTTGCCCGACACGCCCGAAATGCGGTACAGCAGGTCTCCCAGCAGCTGAACGGAGCTGTACCTGATCCGCCAGTTGTCGTCGAACAGACCGTTCTCCAGTTCCGGAAGAAGTAGAGTAATTGCGGACTCGGCGTACAGGTTCACGATTCTCTGGCCGGCCTTGAGGGCCGTTTCGCGCACGTATTCATTCTCGTCGGCCAGCGCTTTCAGTATTGGGTTAATGATCTGCCCGATGTAGGGGGTGAATTCGTCCGTGAAGGCGCCGGGCATGTAGATGAACATCATGATGTAACCGTCCTTCACGTGCGGCGCTATGTCGGTTCGTTCCGCCGTTGCGATTATATCTAGAAAAGGAATGAGTACAATATTATATTTGTACATCGCCTCGCCTAGCAACGTCCAAGCATCGAGTTAAACACAAGAGGTAGTTTCGAGTCTGTAAGATAAGTTGTTTCTTTTTACTTGCTTCTTATTCAATTCAATCTATAAAAAGGACACAGGAGGGTTCACGATCTACCCCAATGAGGTCAATAATTATTGTACCTTAATTTTAAGATTTAGTATTGTAACTTATATTTAGTCTGTACTACAGATTGTGTTTGCTTTATGCATGTAATACCTACTTTAAACAACATATGTTGTGAATCTCTATAAATACGCGCTGACGGGTCTATTTTAAATAAGTACACAATACTTATTGTATACTACTACTGCTAATAATACTAATGTACATATTATTGTTTAAAACAATAAAAAATGGTAATATACTTACCAGGCATGATTTTATGCAACTTGTGAACTCCTAGCCCAGCCACGACTTCGGACAGTCCCTGGGCGGCTCCCGATCTGTCGACACTGCTGGACTCCGACGTGAGGGTGTGCATCAACCAAGGCAACAGCTCCTCGAAACTGCTCTCGCCCATACCCTTCACCATAGCACCCAGCGCACGTGCAGATACTGAACGGACCTGAGATTAAGAATTGCTGCTTATTTCATATTTATTGAAGATCTTTTTACACAAAATAAAAGTCTTACAAATTTATTTACTGTACCTCTGGCACTGGATCGAGGAGAGAGCTCTTAAGTCCCGGTATAATGTTTGGAAGGTACGGCATGAGATCCTTCTGGTCAGTCAACGAGTACATATTTCCGATGATCTGAGCGGCCATTTTGCGTGTCTCAGTGCTTCTGTCGAGAAACGCTCGCTGCACCACGGGCATAATGAGGGCCAAGGACGGCGCGTCTATGAAATGCACGAACTTCGTGTCGAGCAGTGTCTGAAGACACGCTGATGTTTTGTTGGACGGATCCTGAAGTGCTTGGAGGAGTACCGGCACAATAGCTGTAAACAAAATATTTTTTCTTATGATAGAGGAGGACGGACAAGCATACGGTTCACTAATGGTAGGTTAGAAATACCGCAGCCTTTAGCATCGAAACAAAACGCGCTGTAGACTCATTTTGGCTTCAGGTATTCGGAAATCCACAGATTGAAGCCGAAACGTGACTAAACTTCACCGCGTTATACAATTTAAAAATCGAAAATAAATTGAAAAAATTTTTCTGCCTGAACCGGCGTCGTCAGCGTTCCGCGCTGTTGCTCTACCAATTGAGCTACCGAGCTACTTAAAATTTTTTTTCAATTTATTTTCGATTTTTAAATTGTATAGTGCCTTCATGTGCAATAACATGTAAAAAAATAATAAAGTTTTCACCGCGTTTTCATTTGTGGTCGGACATTTAATATCCGGATTTCTAGACGAAGTCCAATATGTTTCAAAAAAATAATCGAGCCCACGTCCTTGATTGATTATTAGCCGTACATTGCTATCATCACAACTTTAGTAAGAGAAAATGGGATTCATCTTAAGGGCTGAAAGGTTATACCTTGAATTTCAGGATTGCGAATAACGGAGCCGATAACTTTCAGGGCTTCAGCGGCAGCTTGTTGGACGCGCATGTGGGAGTCGCTCAACACTTCTATCAGCTTCGGGACGATCGAGGGAAGGCACGAAGACAACTGTTTTGGAGCACAATACGCCATGGCACCCAATAATTCAATAGATCCTGTTATTAAAAGCAGATGTTAATTTATGGCTATGAATAATAAATATATAATTTTTACATTAGTGCTTCTGAAGATAAAAAAAAAGAAATCACATTTTAAGTTTTGTGTTGTTGGAATATCAAAATTTCGTTTATATACAATGCGTTTCGGATCCAATATGTGGATTTTAGAATATTTAAAGGGTAGCTGATGGAAGTGATGATATGCGGTAATTTATCTTCCTCTGTCATGAAAAAAATAAAGATTATACTTCGAGTCCCGTGTATTAAATACTTTTTTTAAATAATATGTAAATATTTTAATTTTACAATTAGTTTTTGAAAATTGTAAATGTACTAACCGGCCTTCGTTCTCCAGTTGTCGTCATAAAGAGCTTGCAACAACGCCGGCAACACCAACTTCACCCCGTGCGCGGACAGTTTGCTCATAATGAGCTTGGCCGTATCGTCCGCTGCGGCCCGGACGTACTGAGAACTGTCCCCGAAACAGAGCAAGAGATGCGGCAGCACGTGCACTATGTACGGTTCGAAGAGACGACCTAGCTTGTAGCACAGCATCTCAAAGCCGAACAGGGCACCTACGAAAAAGTTAAAAGTTCATTACATCAATCTACTTTTTACATAAAAATAAATTGAATTAGTTTTACTACAAAAAATATCTTAAAACAACTTACTATCTGAAATAATTTGTATGAACAATTTTTATTCATTATTATTTTACATACCTTCGCGATACTTGTAATTCTTCTTCTCCTGAATGGCCTCTGTTAGCTTTCCCATTACGTCGAGTTGCTTCAGCGATAAGATTCCTAAGCCTTTTATTATTCCCGCTATGCCATAGGCAGCACCCTAAGTATTAAATACAACAAATCAACACAAACACAAAATATATTAGTAAATTTACTTTTTACCACGGCTACCGAAATATTATTTATTTATTCAAGGATACATCAAAAGATCCAGAACGTCACTTATATATATTACTTTGCACAAGTATTCTTGTGTGATCCATCAAAATATGTATACTGTAAGTAGATAACATTGCTGACCTTACGATCTCCATACTTTTCTGCTGTCAATAATTGCTTCATTAGCTTATTCATGATCGTTGGTATTTCACCCTCGAGCGCTGGTGATGTGACTAGATGTGGTAAGCAGTTGCTAACCGCTTCTTGTACCTAGAATCAGAAGGAGTGAAATTATCGTTTTTTACATTACCATTAATAATACTTTATCAAAGGATTTATATCGTACAAAAACATATATGGATAGAAAGATACATGTGTTATAACCTACTAAACCTCCGATGATCATTGCTCTTTTCATAATAAAAATAACATTATTCTTACTTAGATGGCTGTCATATGTGATATATCTGGGAGGAAGAACAAGAACTTACTTGCTGGCTGGGAGTAGACAAAGCGGCGACTAATCTCAAGGTGATAGGTTTGACTCTCGCATCGGTGGGTTCCAAGTGCCTCGCAAGCGACCCCACCAGCAGCACAACGCTCTGTCGCACCGCGTCGTATCCGCCGGATTTAGGAGCGTTGTCGAGGAACTTCTCGAAGACGGGCAGTTGGGTGCTGAGTGTATCCTTCCCGTGGATATCCACCACCGCCATGGCTGCTATGAGCATATCCGAACGCACGACCTCGTGCCGGTCCCCGAGGGACTTCTGTACGAAGAAGCTCATCGCGTGCGGCACGATATCGGCACGCAAGCACGAAGCTAAAGCGCGTAAGGCGAGCGCGACACCTCGGCGGCTACCCCAGTTGTCCACCGCCGCCTCTGTTTCGTGTCCGAACTGATCTAACTTCGCCGGAATAAGCTGAAAAAGGTATATTAAATAAAGAGCATTTGAAGGTAAAATGTAACACAATAATTCCGAAACACTATAATCGATTTGTATTTAAAAGCAGTTCGACTAAAGGTTATTTTTTTTACCCAAGATCGAAGACGAAAGAAACAATTAATATGTAAAAAATGAAAAGATTTTTTTTCCCTTTGGAAATTGATTCAAAACATTTGAGTTTTATTTATGGTATTCTTGGAAATTACTTCTGACAAAAAAAAAGTAAATTTAGTTTTGGGCATGGGACAGACACATTTCTGTGCCACCTTTTTTATTAATTGGCAAGCATGAGACCTTTTGGTGGTGCTAATACTATTTAAGAATAGTTACTCACCGGTAGTTTTTCGTTGTAAACTTGATGTAAGCGTTGCAGTACTTGGTCAGCAGCGCACTCTTGTCGCTGCGCACGAGATACTAGCGCTGCTAGGGCTGATGCTGCAGCTCGCTGCACCGGCTCAGATGGATGCTGTATTTCCTTTAACAATAGGTTCATGATCTCTATCTCGGCTTCTGTTATCCAACCATCAGCGCGAGGTAACGATGACCAGAGGTCTTGTGCCAGTTTCCTGTAATGTAATTCAATGTATTGGAGTTACAAAAAAAAAAAAAAAACATTTCATCGAATAATAATTACTATAACTTAACCTGTAATTGTAAAGATTTTGTTACGAACATGCTCATATATATGGTATGGCATCATTAATAATAAAAACCTAGAAATATTTTTATGTAAGTTTATCCAGATTAAACACAATAAATGAAACATACATATTATCTTCCGAGGTATCGAATGTAGCAATGTAAAGCCTCTTGGTGAGATCTAAAGCAGTCTCCTCTTGTTCCAGGAAAGGCGGTAAGCGCTCAAGAACACACCCAAGTGCTCTTAGGCCAGCATCGCGAACAACCTTTAGAACAGATATAAAAAACATGAATCATCAAAAATATATTGAACTAGCAGAAGAGTTCTATACAGATACTGTCCTGAAGTGAACAGTAGACTAAACAAAAATTTTGAATATAAACTAGGCCTACCTCAGCAGGGCTCTGCAAAGCAGCGAGGAGGCAGTTGACGTCTTCTTGGGTGATCGGCGCACGCGCAGCACACTGCGCAGTTTCCAAGAGCGCCACCGTACATGCAGCCGCCACACGACCGCTACTAGAACCTGAATGTTTACGTACATTTGATATACACTTTGATATCATTCTCGTATAGTGGTAGTAGTTTTTAATAGTCGGCCAGCCCATAAACAGAGCTTCTGGACCTAAATCAATTGTGACAAATTGCATTTCAACATCTTTTCTCATTGCTCTTACTTTAAAGGCATCAAAACCATTTATTTACAAGTTCTTATGGGGATGATAGTCTCGAATTAGACTTACCAATGAGATCGATAAGTAGTCTAAACATGTGGTCTATAGGAAAGAGGGTGGGGTAGAGCAAGTCCCGAGACGCGTCGCCATCACTGCCGCTCTCACCGCGCAGAGACGCGTGATGAGTGATCACAGCCAGGCCGTCCACGACCATAGATTCGTTTGTACGAGTTGCACCACATGTTAGACCTGATAAAGATGTTTATCACAATAATATTAGTTATTAAGATTACATACTATATCAAAAACATGATTAGTTACTCATAACTGAAACCACCTTCGTAGCTCAGCAGTAAAATGCGTTGCCTAGTTTTGCTCCGTAGCACGAGAGATCCTAAGTTCGAATTTAGAAATTCAGAAAAAGAATATAATTGGACAATTTCTATCTAATTTAAATAAAACATTTTATCGGTTGATAACACGAAGTATATTAGTTAAACTTATATGGTAATTACTTTACTACGTTTCGGATGCTTTGCAGCAGCCGTGGTGGTCACGGGGAGTTTCCGTGATGAAATAATAATATACATCGCGTTTTAAACCGTTAAAGTGTTTTATTTGAATATATACTACTCGCTTAAACTACAGACAGTATTCTATAATATTGTTGTAATCGACGTGTACTTTAAATATAAGAACTGTAAAGCATACAAACCTTTTTGAAGCAACGGGAACACGTAACAGAATCCTGGCGCGGTGAAGTGATTAACTTTGTTTGCTTTCATTCCAGCAGTTGCTTCATTTAACAAATGGATGATGCGTCCAGTCGCCTTAGCGAGATCCTCTTCCTCCCAACTCGGGTCTAAATCGCATTGTGGCTTATGTAATCTGCAATATGTATATTTTACAATGTATGTTCATTTATATAGTTAATAATTATATGATTATTCAACTGAATATGATATAAAAAGTATGCTTAAGTAGAAATAATAATGTAAAATTTTACCTACATATAAGTCATTATAGCTAGAAAAATTTACTTGCATTCGTACTTTAAAAACTATTCAACTTTCGAGTGATTTCCAAAAAATATTTATAAAAGAATCATTCTTCTTTGATTAATATTTAAAAAAATGTTGTGTCTTTAAAGATTAACCCTCACGAACTATTCGTATGGTAATCAAATTTGCTCGAAATACTTCTTATGGCAAAAAACATTTGCCAGGTCAGGATTTGGATTTTTAACAAGTTTACCTAATAGTGACCCTGGCCACATGTTCCGCCAGGATGGAATGCTGAGGCAACATTGCCCTTTTCAGATGCCAATATGTCTGGAGAAGGGTGGGCGCTGCAAGAGGCGACCGAAGACCGTCCAGGACAGCAGGAACGAGACGCCGCGCCCAAATGCAAATCGCGTTGGGGGATCCTCTTTGTACTGCCTCCACTAATTGCGCGGCATTCACTACGCGACTGTTTAGCTATGACAAAAAGATTGATAAGTCCATGATTTCTAAGCATACAAACTTTTTTTTCTTAAATCATTATATAGTCTCCTTCACGAAATAGTTACAGCTGTTATTTTCTTTTGCTGATTGTAGGAGATTTAGTGTTTCAAGAGTTTTCACTTTCCACTCACTCTTCTCACTTAAGTTACAAAAAAGTATATATAGTTATTTTCTTACCGCAGTAAGCCTGTCCCTGATTGCCGCTTCTTTAGCCATTTGCACCTTAATCGCTTCTTTTTGTTTCGCACTTAGGGGAACCTGAAAGAATAGTAACGTTTATTTAGAAACACAACGTTTAAAATTAAAACTTATCTAACAATATCACGATGTAAATAGAAATTAATTTTTATTTTCATTAAATATGACGACAGAGGCAACTATGCCTCTGAAAAGGAGCTTCGTTGGGAGTGGGAAAGCAAAGTTCAAATTTATGCACTCATAGATTCTTATAATTAAAAAGCTTTTAAAATGGTGAGCTCACAGTACCTCCTTTATGCGTCCCTCTTTGCGTCTCTTCTCTTCTAGCTCGCGACGTAATTGTAGTTCTTCTAGTTGTTCCTTGTAGCTGTATGCTTTGCTTTCACGTTTAAGGTTCATTTCTTTGTTGTCTTCATTACTGAAATATTTTAATGCTATATTATGAACGAAGATACATAGAAGAAGGTACATTAAAATAGAATGATATAGATATAATATGATTTGTACAAAAACATTACATAGACCCTATTTGTATGAGTCAGTCAAGACAAGTGTTATATATTTTCAATAATATAACTTTATAGTATAGAATAAAATGTTTCAAAATTAATTGCGCTTAATAGGTTCTCACCCGGGTATAACACTCTTGTCATAGAGGTCTGAAGGTGGTGTGAGGTACGTGAAGTATTCATCCCGATTCACTCTCAACATTTCTGGGTCGCCCAGCGCGTTGAGGGCCGCTGCTAACGCTGCACCTCCCAGCGACTCGCTGTTGCACCAAGCGAGAGTCGAGACGACATTTGATGCAGTCTGTTAGCAGTGTGTAACTAGTCAATTAGTCGCTCTTATGAGTCAGGCAAGGAAGGAAAACAGGTTCAGTTACTTTCCTATTTGGTCCTCGGTAATAACATCGTAAAAAATCATGCCTACGTCCAAGAACGAGATAGCGAAACGTCAAGATATTCCTCAACAACGACCGAACAAAAAAAAATCATAAAAATTACGCATGAAGTAATAATATAATACGTATACAATATACACATAAATTGTGTCACAAAAGTAACTACTGACCTCTGTCGGCGTGTACCCGTTGATATAGGTATTCTTTAAATTGTTAGAGTGGATGGCGACTAATTTACGAGGCTCATGGCGCAAGTAGCGAACCAGTTTGACCCAAGCCCACTTATTGATCGCCGCAGCCAAGGGGTGGTGGCAACTAGGCAAGGCGTCTATTGCTAGCGCCGCCGAGTCTTCCTTTGAGTAATCTAAAAATATATCCTATGTTATCAATTTTATCTGTAAATTTGGAAACATTATCAAATTGAAGTAATAACAAACAAAATAAATAAACGACAAGGGCGGCATGAACAGCGTTCCTTGCTGCTGTTTCAACAAATTGAGTTTCCGTGTCCTATTAACTATATGAACTAATAAGATTACGACGAAAAGAAACGAACGAACTCAACTCGGTCTCGGTAGCGCAATTGGTAGAGCAACAGCACGGAGCGCCGACGACGCCGGTTCAAGTCCTGCCCGAGTCGAACTTTTTTTTCAATTTATTTTCGATTTTTTAAAAAGAACTTACGTTAAAATGTAAGTAAGTTAAGTTAAAAAGCAATCAATAAATCTTTCCATACCTCTGAAAAAACAAAGTGCTTGCACGCAATCCAAAATAATCTTTCCGGTGACTTCTGGTTTCTCTTCTGGTGGGGTCTTCTCCTTGACATGAAATATTTTTCCCTCCTCCAATATCGCGTTTAATCTTTGTATTAAATATCTAGCTAATAACGCTCTATCTTCTTTGGCCAGCAGCGCTTTAACTTCTTGAATGGCCGCCGTTCGAACCAGCTTTACAGGCGATAGCAACACAAGAATAAAGGCCTTGAATACGGGAGCATTCTTATCGCTGGCAACACTTTGGTAGTTTTCCAAAACTGATCTGCATAGCAACACCACCTGTATTAGGACTATAAAGGGGTAAATGTTATAGTGCTATTGTAAATCAGCTTGCTTAACTACATATTAGACTATTTGTGAATTGTTTAAGAAATGACATCGAATAAAAATTTAATTGTTAAAATTGTCTATATCTAAACTTGTAGAGAATAATGCAACAACATTTATTAAATATCTAATAGGTACCGTCATCTTGCGCAACGGAGAGCAGTCTGTCGTGGAGAAGGATATGCTTGTCTGCGTGCATTAAGGCATTCCAAATGGGTGGCTTCGACAGCAGCTCCTGGCGCGCGTCCAATTTCACTAGCGATACCATTGCACATATACCTTCGCTTACAATCAAATGCTGAAACACAATGTTACATTTCATAAATATGATTAACTAACTAATAATAATGTCTGAGTTCAAATCTACACTAATATTATAAAGAAGAGTTTGTTTGAACGCGCTAATCTCAGTATGTACAATCTAATCTCAGTAGTTAAAATGGAAAATGTATTTTTGTGTTCCATAGACCTTTTATTCAAATTTAAATACTTTTAAAAAATGAGGCCACTAGAGGCAGAGTAGCCTAACTGCAAATTTGTGACTTGACTTATTTATATTTTATTAGGCTAAAAATGTTAATTTATTAGTAAGGTTTCTTATTTGATATCTTTTAAGATTAACTCGGGACGTAGCGTCGTGGATAACAGCTATAACTATTAAAGCTTAGGAGGTCGTTTGCATAAATAAATAATATGATGCCCAAAATAATTAAACGAAGACGAGGTCATGGTCACCTAGTTTAATTATAATGAAATAAAAATACTGCCATGTGCAACCAGTTACTTACTTGAAGTGGTTGTTGTATAGCTTTATCAACAATAGGGAGCAGCATCGATTTGAGCGTCTCAGCTTGCGCAGGCGACGCACCACGTACGACGACCAGACGGGAGACCATTGAAGCGTAGGCGATCCTCACCGCTTGTGTCGTGCTCTTGGCTGGCAGATTTTTCTGTAAAATGTATCATTTGCACTGTGTCCATATATTATTACTTACACTTGTTTTACTTTTCAGTAAAATTATATTAAAATTTTCCTAAACAAATTAGCTAAACTAAGAACATAAGCGACCTTTACAACAAACCTTTGAAAATATTTTTATTTTCTTAATTTTCTTTTACATATTTTTACATTCGACTAAATTATGTCATAATTATAACTGTTTAAGTTCATTTCAACTTTCCACAATGTTTTAATTTTTGGTACTAGTTATCTGATAAGGGATAATATTACTAAACAAGCATATTTTTATACATATATCAATGTAATTTTTGGAAATCACCTTGTACATTTGAAGTATTTTTTCTGGCAAATGCGCATTGGAGCGACGGGCCCAGCGGTGGAGCACTTCGAGTGCTACACACAGCGTACGTTCATGCGATTCGGCTTCTATCATCCTACACATCTGCGTGATTACTTCATCCAACAATGCCGCAAAGTCTTCATCGGAGACACCGACTTCACTTAATGTGCCCACAGCCTGCACAGACAAAACAATACCTCGCATTTAAGTACACATTTTACGTTCGTATTTTACGCTTTACATATTTACAGTTGTTTTTAGCAATAATTTTTTAAGTTAAAATTTTCTAATTTATTTTGGTTAAAAATCCTAAGTGTAATTAATATATTGTAGAACAATATATTGGAAAGTTAATCTTAAATAAAGCCAAATTATTGAATCTCATGAGTTTTTGTAAGCTGCATGGTAAAGTGTAATTATAATTCCATGTACATACATTAAGAACAGCAATCTTGTCTTCGCTCGAGGTAAGTTTTCCACTGGCTCCGTTATACTCTGCAATAGCTGCCGTAAGTAGTGTCTTCGAAGCGGCCAGAGCAGAACAGCGTCTGGCTACTCGAGAAAGCGCTTCACTGGCAGCGGAGCGAGTCCACTCATCGCGAGAATGCGTGTTAACTATATTTAATAAACAAAACGTTAGGAAAAATAGATGCACAAACCAATACAAGCCGATCGTATCTGCATATCTGCTGTATCTGCGGTAGCATTGCCTTAGGCCCTAGGGGTCCTAGGTTCTGATCACAGTAGAAATGATAAATTGTTATGGCTAAGCAGAGCACAGAAGACTGATCAACTATCATCAGTGAAACTAAATCAGTTTATTGGAATATGATTTCACTTTTTACAGTGAGTTAGTTTTAAATAATTTTACAGTAATAATGTATGAGGTTTGAGATTTGACTGCAATATAGATGATGATGATACAAATGGAGTCTTCTTTGCACCTATTAAGCCTTTTCCTATGTCAACTGCTAGTGCATCTAGTTGAATATTGAGGTTGTCGACAACAACTCCAACAGCTTCTATAATTGTCTCTGGGCTTCTCAACATGGCTTTATGTAGAGCTGGCAATAGAGTTTCTTTAATATCTGTGGCCAGAAGGAGATGTAAAACATCAGAACAACCATGAATGTAGTTAGGGTTTGGTCGAATTTTTACACTGATCAAACTCTTTGTAAAACTTTCCAACATTTTTCCCTAAAAGAGAAAATTTACAAAATAAATACAAACATCAAAATTAACATGTTCTCATATTTTTAAATGTTTATATCTTTACCTTATGTTGAAGAATTAATTCTTGTTTACTTATTTCTTTTAAATGTCTACACAGAGCTGAAAATGCAACACATAAATGTGGACCAGAGTCAGATGCTTGCAATAATAACACATCAATCCATTTTTGTAGCTTTTCTATTTCAATAGCATTCCATGATGTATGTAACTGGAATCATAAGAGTTATTGTAATTCTTTTTCTTTCTAATTAATATTTAAATTAATTAAATGTTGCCAGCAACAACTTCTGTATCATTGTATATTACCATAATGTATGCTTTCTCACTATAGCGTTTCTCCCCATATGCAGTAACAACAGCAAGCAAATTTGATTGACACAACACCAGAGGAATATAATCCACTTCATCTTTATCGGCTTTAATACAATTTTCCACTAGGACTGTTGTCCAACGAAGGGCATATAGACCAGTTTGAGCTATACTCTTTCTAAAAGTTACGAAATCTTAAACAAATTGCTTCTTAGATTACTTACAAAGGAAGGTTTTAGTTATACTACTTACGACGTAGCTGTATTCCTTAGTTGTTCAGATATTTCTAGCAAAAGAGGTACTAAATTCTTAAATGTCCATTGTTGATGGTTTATTGCAAGGAACGACAGTAAACTTTTTACATATGACTGAGATGAAGAATCTCTATATCTATGCAATGTCAATATTAATATTCTACAAATGAACCGCACAGCTGGTTCAGTGATTCCTAAAATACATAAAGGTTGAATGGTCATTTATCCCAAATATAATAGCAAGATTAATGTGTTTGTAAATTGAATATTAAGTGATCAATACATTGAGGCCCAGTTATATAGTAGCACTCTATCACTATAAGAATAAAATCTGTTGAATTACTTTACCTGGTGACCCGAGAACGTCTTTTATCTCCTCAATAACTTCTCGCCGCTCTTTGATACTTGAGCTTTGAATTCGAAATGGAACATCCTTTAATTTTTTTAAAACCTGTGGAAAGGTATGTTGGTGAATGCACCGGGTATAAAGATTTAAGGTTAAATTTTACGTAAACTTTGTAATTACCTCGGTATCTGCCATTTTTTTGTAATCATTCAGAACTTTATCAAACGCACACCGTACCCACGTCTTCCAAAATCACCGACATCAACGATGGAAAAGACAGCCCGAAGACGGAGAATTTATTGGATATGTCAGCTGAAATCTGCCAAAGTCTTTGTCAAGTTTATGTGAACCAAGAATTTTTTTTCCAAATCCATCTGTAAATTCTATATTTCATTTTTTTTATAGTCTGTAACCGAAATGTCAATTGCAAAGAATAATTGTACATTGTACACAATAATTAAGAAATAAGAACACGTAAATATTACAATATTGGTGTGCTTTTATGGCAATTGGTAAATGGTCAATTATAATTATATAATTATGCTTATATTACTAAATTAATAGAAGTAATTTGTAAGTGTACATATGTTTCAAATACCCATTTTTATATAAATACCTTTCGAATATCTATAAAAGTTGAAAATGTTATCAAAACGCCGAGAAGATCTCAATGACTTACAAAGCTTCCTATCTAGTTGTGACAAGGAAGTGACCATGATTCTTCAAAGCTTACAATGGGATAGAAATAATTTAAATACAGTAAGACTTAAATCGTTAAAGTTATTATACCTAAAGTATACTTCTGGATTTTATTCTGACGAGCTCATTCTTTCAGGATCAGGTTATGAAGACTTGCATGCACAATGATGGTCATAGATTACCTGCTAATAAGAAAAGAGAACATGAAAGTAAATGTTGTTTAAAAATTCAAGGATATGGAGAAGAAGATGTCATGTTTCAAGAGCCATTTGACTGCAATGCTGATACAGTTGTCAAACTTAGTATGTTTTCTTATATTCCTTTAATTTGCTACAATTTCCAAATAGACATTTTTTTTATGGAGTTTATCTTATCTACAGGTACAAATAAAATTAAAAATATTATAGAAGAAGCGGCAAAAACAGAACCCAACTTTCGAAAGGGTATGTAAGATATGTTTGTACCTTAGAAATATTGTACATTCAATGTACATCTTAAATTATTTAAAAAAATATTCTTCTTACAGTGCATAATGTTATGATGTCAGTTTTTTAACAGAATGTATCCTTTATATAATTGTTAATGTGGTTATATCTTTTCTACTTTAAATATATTTTTTTAATTTTTTCTGAAGTGAATGTTATATCTTTCAATTCCTTAACCATATACAAAGGCAACGGATGGGATGGGCCACCTCCGCTTACACTGGATAGATTACAATCGATATATACATCAGATGAGCGTCGTGCTATTTATGATGCTGTTGTAGCTGCTGTTCCTACCTGTCATAATCTTGCTGATTTAGCGTTGCAAGGGTGTGTACAATTTGTAGAAAAATAAAATGAGATAATATAAACCACTTGACAGATGTATTTATTTTAATATACATATCACATTACAGCACAGATGCATTAACAACAGGAGCAAAAACTAAAAGCCGCCTGGAAATACTATCAGAGCTGCGTGATATGAGACGGCGTCGTACCAAGTATCGCGTTGCTGCAAAGACAAAAAACTATTCAGATGTACTAAGAGAAGTCATCACGACCCAAGTAAGATAGTGTAGAATAAACTCTAGAATACCTATTTTGTAACCAGTTTCATCACCTTCTTATTAAATTACTTATTTTTTGTAATCTAATTTTAAGGTTTTAGTCTATAATTACTTCATACCACATTTAATGTTTGTTTTATGTATGCACTGCAGGTAATATAACATGTAGCCCCTTAACGCCTTTGTTAACGTTTTGCTTTTGTATACTGTGTCACCTGCAGGCTTTTTTTTAATCTATACTAATATATAAAGATGAAGAGTTTGTGTGTTTGTTTGAACGCGCTAATCTTAGGAACTACGGGTTTGAATTGAAAAATATTTTTTTGAAGGCTATAAAACATCACGTTGTGATTAATAGAAGTGTAGATACAGCTGGAAATGTGAACAAAACGGATCTCCCGTTTTGTTTGTTATTTGTTTTATCTCTGTGGGTTTCAGTTGCGTTGCGTACGCTGCGAAAACAGTTCAAGATATCTAAAAAATGTGTATGAAAGAATTATTCCTCTTCAAATGATCTAAAAAAAAGTATCTTTTAAGACTTTTCTAAGTCTATCTTTTAAGATTAACTTGAAAGAACAACGGGAAGGGACGTGATCGACGTCGTCGCTAACAGCTTAAGTTTAGTGCCAGAGACTTGGCACTGCTAGTTAATAATATATACTTAATGCTAAATAGCAATGGGAGTGCCTCTAGTTTTTATAATATAATGTTACTTATTATTTCATAGATTTTTGTTTTGTAGATGGAATTTTACACTGACACGCAAGATCAACGCAAACCACAGAATTATGGTATAAAGGAAATGCAACATTTTAAAAATATTAAAAGAGAAAAGAGTTTATCAGAAGACAAATGTTTAGAGAAAGATGATAGAAAAATTGATAAAGAGTTTAACAGCAGTGATGAGTATCAATGGCGTCATGCTAGACAAGGTAAGGATGTCAGAAAGAAACAAACTGACTATAACTATGGTTATAGTTGTAGATATCAAGAAAATTTAACTGAAAGATATTCCAAAACTACTAAAACCAATTCCAAAGAATACCAGGGTAGAAAAAATTACAAGAGCTCGTATTATGATTGTAACAACCAGGAAAAACGGGAAACTGAAAAATATGATACTTATAAAAGAGATACCAGCAGAAATGAGAGAAGGGATAGACATCAACATGAGAAACCTAAAAGTGGTGAGAGCTATAGAAAATATGACATAGATCACAGAGCTGATAAATACTCTAATAGAAGTAAGAGCTATTACAGAAAAGAACAGAAAGATCAAGATCCTAACACAAAAAGAATTAGCGTTAAGAAGTGTGAATCTTCTGAACATGTAAGTAGCCATAAAAGATATCGAAAGAATTAAAATAAAAAGTATTATTGTACATCAAGAATCAATAAAGATAGTAAGTTTGTTCAATGTTATTGTTTCACTGAAACACATTTTTTAAACCCTCAAATAATCAACAATCACAATCAAGGTACAATCGATTTAGAAAGATAGATAATACTCTTACATTGGTGTTACAAAACTTTGAAGTCTCATACCTCAGTAATACGATACACTTTTGGCATTTGGAAATAAAACTGCGAGGTCGTAGCGGACCACCAGCGCAAAAAATACACACTCATTGCCAAATTACAATGAAAATGATACTCTTATTTTATATAAATGATGATTGTATTTGAATGTTTACATTTGATTATTTATTTTACCATTAAATACGAGAATTAGTACCAATTTAAAATCTGGATAAGAAGAGGCTGAGGCTCGAGATTTGCTTGAGACGTGTTCAGTTGAGAGAATTGAATTTCATGTAATTAACAATTACTGTGTTTTGAGGTATGAACTTTGCTTTTTTAATTGTGTTAGGTGAGAAAGAACTGACATTTAACGCCAAAAGGGTAATTTGACGAATCGAATAGTAATAATAATCAGTTTCGTTAAAATTAAATAATAACTATTATTACACATTAATTTAAAATGTAAAACTTCAAGATTCTTATCAATTTTAAATTTGTATTAAAAAGCATGAATTAAAAAAAAATTAGGCGCCATTGCACTATTTAAATAACTAGAGCTTAACGATTTAATTAGGTGAAATATATTTGTTACCCTGTTTACCACGGTCTCTACAAAGCTTTCGAAACGATAGTAAATTAACGAATATGTTTTGCGCTTAAGAAGTATTTTATTTGAATATCATTTTAGATTGAAGAAGGGTTCTACTTGGTACACAGTAAAATGTGGTGATGTTCCCCGAGTCACGGAAGTGCACAATTAATAACCAATAAAACAGAACCTTAAAGGCAGATTTTGATACAGCGGTCAGTTAGTACACCACGTCGTGATTCGGTCGTGAGAGGAAAAAACGACGGGCCGCGGCGGCGCGAGCGCATTCTCGGGGTCACGCCAGATTCCTACTCCGAGAGCCGGACGTTTTTCTATATTTATGTCGTCATTTGTATTCAATGTATTAATCTTTATATGGTTATCCAGTACAGGTAATGCTATCGACGCTTTTAAAAGTTTTACCTAAACCACATTTTATCCATGTTGTATGTCTTATTGAATAATTAATTTATGCTGTGATTTATATGCATATTGAACCAGGCCATCTTCGTCTCTTAGACTATGAGATTCGCAAAACAATAAAATAAAACACAACAATGGCTTGCGTTAGGGACTTAGGGGCACGGGGCAGAAGGGGCAAACAAAACTTCACACGCCTGACTTCGCAAACGGGCAAGTCGCCCCGCAGTGTGGACGGGGCTCCGTAGACGATTGAACGTCGCCGTGGAAAACCTTAAGACGTTTACGCAGTGTACAAGTACTAAATAACTGAGTTTTAAAACTTTATAAGTTTTGTGTTGTATGTATGACAGTGAGTGAAAATGTGATAAAGTTTTCGCTAGAGGAGTTTTAATTGAATTCTAGTGGTAAGCCTTATTTAATTTATTTATATCTTTAGTATATAGAATTATCGTAATGACAGACAAATTTAAGTTTATTTTAGATTTGAAAATTTCAATGACACTGGTGGGACTCGGGTCGTGGATCCCGCCCGTTTCACTAATCAATCCATCTCAATTAGATTTTGACTAATTATAAATTTAACAAATGAAACACACGAAAACAATTATATTGTATAATGTAAAACAGCCAAAATTAACTCTATATAATTGGTGCGTTAGGACCTGATTATTTTTGAAACATCTTCTATTTTACGAATATACTTATAAATGTGATTGGCAAAGGCTAGCCATGGTTTTAGCGGTGCAAGCTTATATTATGCGAGTAAGACTAAAAATGTAATAACAGGAATATGCTATCGGGATACTTATATTATATTCCAACTATCCAAGACACTACATATACAAAACTGAAACTTAGGCCGTAAACATGAGAAGGCACTCGAAAACGAGGGAAGGATTACGTGCGACTTTATTAAGTTCAACTAGATTTTTTTTTATTTCAAATGTGGGAGGTTATTAAACATTGTAATGAAATGTCCACATATTTAGCACTGGTTTTGAGAAAAACGTGATTATTCTTTTGTGCTGATTATGTTTTAGTTCTGCTCTCCTGTGCTATAAAAAAAAAGGTTCCAATTGTTTCAAAGATAGGAAGTTATAATATTTACTACATCTTTCAGTATCAGCTTTGCTATTTACAAAGAAGCTTATTTAGGTTAGCTAAACGCTAAAAGTTAACGACTTAAAGACAGGAAAAACATTGTTATTTTTATGTATTGTATTCTCATATGTTAGTCGTACAGATTTAGTCGTAACTAGCGTTGCCGGCCAAAATAAGTATCTTTTTATACTAGTTTTAACGAGAGCTATAAAAGTGTTAATTCTGCAGAAACATCAATTATATTTTTTTTCTTTCCTATCATTATTATTACATTAACATACGTACGTTATTCTGTACATGCCGTGAAATTTGACTATATTAGAATTCCGCAATTAGCTAGAAACGGCGGGCGAAATTACAATCAATAAGTCATAAATGAATGAATACCTACCACATTATGATAAATACGAGATTAGTTTAAGAAGTTTTTCTTCATAGTTGATTTCTATAAACATTTTAATATTTGTTTAGTTCCGAATCTTTTGACACCTCGTACATGAGAATTGACTTAGAGCTTTAGGGGCTGCAGTGGAATATACACACGTACATTGACAGGCAAGATCATTGCCCTTCTTTCTGACGTTGTGGAGTGATACTGTTAAGTTTTCTTAAGGTATTAATAGTAAGAAGCGTGCTTAAAACATGTGTAGATTTTTTACTTGGTTTCTCCTTAGCGCGTGGCAATCAGAGTGGAGCGTGGTGGCCTTAATAACGTCTACGAGCGACGTTGGGCGTAGAGCGAGGGATCATTATCTAGTTATATGGAAATCAAAGCTGTCATGATGATAAAATGTTTGTAATATATGCGTAAAAGTCGTAATTTCTGCATTAATAACTATTTATCGGATGTTTACCTGTTACTTGCTTATTAATCTAGAATCTCTAATTTTATTTTCGCTTCATCGTCTTAACTATTCTATTACCATAAAATTGAGTAGACTATTGCGTATTGTAATTAAATCTCAATTTGTTGTTTTTTGTTTTAATAAATGTTGTATTTTTTAACAATCGATCAATAGAATCGCTATGAGAGCGCAGAACAAAAGACTTCAACGCGCCACTGCGTCGCACATCTGCCTCTAACCGCGCTAACGGTCTTGCACGTGCATTAGCGACGCCGAAAACTTCTAATTATAATAACAAGATTACGTGCCGTATACTTTGATAACTTAATTGCATACTAAATTTATTTTTTATACTTTTTGACGGGCTTCCAACGTAATGGGTAATAAACAACGGGTCGTGAGTTCGACTTCCATCAGGTCCAACATATTTGACTCGGTCAATTAAACCTGGACGCTAAGCCGACCCTTTTTTCCGAATATTGAAATCCTGTCTGGGTCACGAACCAGGATTCTCAAGTAAAAATACTGAAGTTTGAATTCGCGTTTCAGTTTGATCCCGTTTAAATGTTAAGGCTGTCTGGGGTATTTACATCACCACTTGTAAACTGTCGCTCCTTGGTTTAACAATTCAATTACTAATTAATCTATTTCAGGAAATACTTTCCAATTTTCAATTACAATTTTTTACTGCAGTGCTAACGCCAGATCTACAACAATAAAGATTAATTGTCATCGGGAATAATCAACGGTAGTACGCGCTGGCGCACACAATGGACTGTCGATTGGCGTAAATTGTACACTCAATGCTTCAATTACTTACGATTGTGCTCGATTTTTAACGATCGACATAAAATTTGTATCCTTGTACTATACGGATATTTTCCAAAATGTAGGAAACAAACTTAAATTTGAAAGTATGTTTATGACGACGTCGACTTTTTTATATTAGAAATATAATTTCTATTATGTTTCTGAGACACGTTATCCTTGATATACGTTGGGTTATTCCAAGACTCGTTTATTATCATTATGGCGGCCCTACACGTTAGCCAACATATTGGCGAATGAATTAGCCAATACGTGTTGGCCATTGTGTAGAACGGGGGTTGGTGATCTATTTGGGTACTAAATGTTGGCTAACGTGTAGAGCCGCCATTAGGCATACACTACTAATGTTGAGCCAACGAGACCGTCGTAACATACGTGGTTGAATCTTTGCTTTTAGTTGAAATCGTGATCGTTAGTCGTGAAGTAGATTCGACCTCATGTTGATTTGTCTTTAGATGTACCTACGACACGTGTTAAAATAGCGCCATACTCATTGCAATTTTTCTCTACAAACAATTTTCACAGCGACTGGACGCTTTCTCTCCACCAATTTTTATTATTACGTAATATTTTTATGTTCCGTTATAACGGCGCTTATCTGATACATTTCATCATAACTTACGGTGATCTTACAATGACAATCATCAAGAAATGATTATAATTCGATATACCAAAGTGGTTTACTTTGGTATATCGGTTTATACGTCGGTGTGTGGTCAATAAGCGCCAGTATTTATCTTAAGTATCGTCTGTAATAATAATGAAATAAAACACTTTATTGCACAAACAAATAAAATACAAATATAGTAAAACTAAAATAATTATTTACATAAAAGAGTTAGTGCAAAGGCTGCCTTATCGCCTATGGCGATTTCTTCCAGGCAACCCTTGTTGAAAAGGAAAACAAAATAACAATAAATGAGTAAAAGCCAACGAAAATGAGAGAGAAAATGCAATAAATTGTAAAATACAATGATCTATATGTATAATCTGTAGTTACCGCGAGGTGTACATATTTAAATAAAACACTTTCAATAGTTACTGAAATGTTGTCCCCGTGACTAAGATTACGCGCGCAAAATTGGATAGTGGTTAAAAATTAGTTAACTTTAACGCGTCATATACGTGTTTCTATTTTAAAAAGTAATAAAGAAAATTTGTTGTTGTTGTTTAATACATTTGTCAAAACGCCTCGTATTTGAATTATTGCCCCGTTCGAGTGCATAAGTACTACGATTACAACGAACGAGTTTACAGTTTACAATTGGGAAGGGAAGATAACAATACGTTATTTTGGGGTTCGCGGAGGGTGCAATTGCGATGGACTCCAACAATAGGAATACCCAATAGTTTCTAATCTCAAAAATACGCCATTGTACAATCATAATATTATTCCGTTGCTAAGGGTCGGCGTCGAATGTTAAATGATAAACAGCAATGTGATATCGAATTACGAGGCTTAAACGCTTTTTAATATATTGTATAAAGATTTCGCGGCCATTTTTGTAACTACTTATGTTTTTAACTTTCGTTATAAACTACCCTTTTAATACGTTACTTCTATGTCTGAAGTGTTTTCTTAAAATATAATCCCTTATTTAATTAATAATTGTAGTTTTCAATTACGGATGATAAGTATCTGACGAATATTATTGCATACAACCACTTCAATGTGAAAAAGGCTTAATTTTCGTAAGGGTTGTGATACAAATATGTGTGAATTATTAGTAAGGTGTTTTGTATGTCTCCTACAATACAGTTAAAATCTTTCTCTATTATATAAACTCCAAACATATGTATTTAGCTTCTTTATAATGAATTGAGTTTCAAGACGGTGTAAATTAATTGATTATATCTACCCTGCCCATCTAATCTAAAGCGCATTCCTTATTTAATCGAACACCCGAAATCGGTGAAAGCATTTTCAAAAAATGTTGATAAACCGGTTAAAAATGTTCGAATATAATGCAGGCTCGGTGGAGTCCGCTCCACAATGGTAGAGTCATTAATCTAGCTGACATCAACAAACCCGGCCGCTATTAAGTTACATAAAATGTGGATTAGAAAAAACTTGTCTAACTGCCGGATCCGTTATATTATTATATTGTTAGATGAACGCATTTTATTATTGAGTTTTTATACGCTTACGTTTAAATAGATTAGTAAAAACGGTTTTTATTTTATCAGTAATACTTTAGATAGTATTATTATTTACGTTACGACAATTTAGTGAAGTAAACTACCTGCATAATTTTTGTATGTACATATTATTTTATAATATAAGGGTTTTCTCTAAAGCTAAGCGTTTTGTATTACAGGAACAGTTTATGCGTATTCTCTTATATTTTCATCACTACGGCGGTTTATGTTGAGAAACAAAACCGCCGTTGTCCGCCTTGTCGTTGCACCTATACATATACATTTATGCATTATTTTTTTATATTTATGACGTTTCATCATCATCTTTCAAAACTCTTCT